GAGGCACCGGGGATAACAGGGCTAGATGAGCCAGGAGCAGCAGGAGAAGAGGCACCGGGGATAACAGGGCTGGATGAGCCAGGAGCAGCGGGAGAGGAGCCACCAGGGGTCGAGGAGGCGGGCTGGGCGGGAGCAGAGGAACCAGGTTGCCCGGGGGTGGAAGAGCCAGGAGTAGACGAGGTAGATCCGCCGGGCACAACGGGGACAACACCAGTGGGAGATCCAGGGGTCGAAGGCACAGTGGTCGAAAGACCTGGACCAACAGGCACAGGCTGGGTCGCGCTAGGAATGCTGGTGGTGTTCTGGAAAGGACCAGGCTTGGTGGTAGGGACAGTGCCGTTTGTAGGGATGCTGTGGGTGGGGAAAGGTGCCGGGGGAAGCCCAGTGCCAGTGATAGGGGCAGTGCCCTGGCTGGTAGTAGGCTGGATGGGAGCAGTGCCGTGACTGGTAGTGGGCTGGATGGGAGCAGTGCCGTGACTGGTAGTGGGCTGGATGGGAGCAGTGCCGTGACTGGTAGTAGGCTTGATGGGAGCAGTGCCGTGGCTGGTAGTGGGCTGGATGGGAGCAGTGCCGTGACTGGTAGTGGGCTTGATGGGAGCAGTGCCGTGACTGGTAGTGGGCTTGACAGGGAAGACAGTACCAGTAGGGTTGGGCTTGGGCTGGGGCTTCACGCCGGTGGGCAGTGGCTCCTTGCCGGTGGGAACCACAGTCTTGCCCTGTTCCTCACACCATGTGGTGGTCACAGTGATGGTGTTGGTGAGAGTGATGGGGACCGTGAGAGTCTTGTTGCCAGAAGTGACAACAGTGGTGGTTTCTATGGCCATGTTAGACACAAATTGCTTGAGGAATTGCATGATAGAAGAACTAACCCGGGCACTCAGTAGTCACATAGGTAGTGGTCTTGGTGATGGTGCGGGGAGGTTCGGTGGTGAGAACAAGTTTCTTGGTAGTGGCAGGCTTCTTGTTGTCGGGCTAGGGGCTTCTTAGTATGCCAACAGAAATGAGTACGCGCTTTCATGAAGCATACCTCTCCGCCGCGACCCTGGATGACACCAGCAAGAGCCGGGGCAGCCAATGCCAGGAGCGCAATAGTTCCCTTGACCATTTCGAAGGTTGATTTTCTTGGTTTTCGCAAAAGACTCAAACAAAACAGCTTTTAGTATAAACGAGAGATGAAAGAAGAAGCAGCGAGTGGCTTCCGTACAGCACGATGTGGGATGAGGAAGTGAAAACGATTCGACAAAGCAGAATGTCTCGATCTTTAAATCCTCTCGACGAGAGCTCGATGACTGTGCATACGACAGTCGTCACTAACGACTCTTAAGATGCCACAGTAGTATCCATTGGCTAGCCAAGTATGGGGCAAATGTCGTAAGGTTCAGGAGCAAAAGTGAATCAGTTCAAAGCTATACCAAGCCATGGATAAGATGAGGAACCGATGCAATGCTGTAAGAGGAGCCCCAAAGGAACCCATACGTGAAGCTGGTCGGTCAATGTAACATCTAGCTGCAGCTTCTTGGTTAGAGGCCCACAGTGCCCACGTCAGTGAGCCACGATCCTCGTTCAAGATGCGAGATGGTCGTACCTAGCTGGAAAATCAAGGGAAGTATTGTCGTCATGACTTTAGCTACGCACTCTTGCTTCAGGAATGGGAGACTGAACGTCCCCGGATACCGCCATGGCCCATGCGGATACAATATTTGCACCAATCATCTGAAGCGAGGATGAGCCTGATGAGAAGACAGTTACTCCCGAGATGGGTCCAGAACTGATCAACCCCCTAAGAAAAACCGAGCTTAATTGCTGACAGCGCTGTGCTTAACTCGAAGGGCTCTGCAGAGGCCGAGTCAAAAAAGCTTTGCAGGAATGTGGAGTCGCTAGAGATCCGTCTGTAACGTCGCAGCTAAGTTCACGGGGTCAAGGATCAGGGCAGGGACAGAAAGCAAGAAAGCAAGAAAGCAATCCCCGAAAGCAAGGCTACCAAGATCAGAGTAGGAGTACCTTGAGCCTCAACTCAAAGACACCTCAGGTGGTACCTCGAAATCCCACTTGCGGGGTGATAGCCCTGATGACGAGAGAGGTCATGGCATCATTGAGGTATTGTCATCTAAGGAGGAGATTGTGATACGAATAGACTGATTCAATCAATCAAGCACCATAGAGCTCGAGCAATTCGATGCCAGGTTGGGCTTCAGCCCTTTTCGAAGGTTGGGGCTGTGAGTGTCGTTAAGCTGGGATTCCGGTAACGTTTCATCGGAGAGAGTGGATACGGTGGCTGCCCCAAGAGAAAGATGGAATACGTCATTTGAGCAGAACTTTTGAGCCGCTCGACAGGAACCAGATGCCGCATGCGGCGACAGTGAATTGCAACTGTTCCTGCAGGGGCGGCGCCAAATAGAACTTGGCAGAGGGTGAGTGAAGCTCTGAAGCTCTGGAGGGGATGAAGTATACTTCGTCGCTTCAAGGTGGGTCGGCGGTACCTCGCTGACTCATCACCGCAAGCGGCGACACATCACGTGGATATAAGTTCTTCTGGATTCAGCTATCGTCTTAGGGCTTAGGGCTAGCGGCGCGTCGGAACGCGTCGTTGAGCGCGTTAATGGTCTGCTACGATGCGACGCTCGATTGATGCATTGATCTCGGATGGTTTGTGGTTTATCAAATCTACGAGACAAATCCACATAATTATCGCCCATGATGCCTCACTCAGTGTCTTCACAAGGCTCGGCCGCCGAACGCAAAGATGAAGAGGTTTTACCAGACGCTCCTGCTGCAGAAACGACCTCCGAAGACCGGGCCAATGCGCCCGATAACGCAGCAGCAGGGATGAAATTGGAGGACCTTTTCAACGATGATGACGAGGACGAGGAATACCCAGCTTCTAGTGCCCCGAACATCCAGGGTCCGGACGCAATGCAGACCGAGTAGGTATCGCGCCAAATCATCAAAGCATATTAGTGCTAACAGAGGTCGCTCAATCAGCGCCGCCCCAGCTCCTGGTCCGGAGGTAGACACAGACACTATGCTGGCATTTTATCAGCGTCTCTTCCCCTTTCGCTACTTATTTCAATGGCTGAATCATGGAATTGTTCCTTCGCCCGATTTCGGAAACCGCGAATTCGCCCTCACGCTTCAGAACGATGCTTATCTTCGATATCAATCATATGCAACAGCAGATCTGTGAGTACAGCGGGATATACCCTATCAACAACGACCACAATCCGCCCTAACAAGCAGCTAGCTTTCGCAAAGATATCCTCAGGATGAACCCCTCTCGATTCGAAATCGGACCCGTCTACAACACCAACCCACGAGATCGCAAGACGCTCCGCGGCGGCCAGTTGAAACCCGTCTCCAAGGAGCTCGTCTTTGATATCGATTTGACCGATTATGACGACATCCGATCCTGCTGTACGAAGGCCAATATTTGTGAGAAGTGCTGGGCATTTGTAACCATGGCCATCAAGGTTATCGACACGGCTTTGCGCGACGACTTCGGCTTCGAACATATCCTGTGGGTCTACTCCGGTCGTCGTGGTGCTCACGCCTGGGTGTGCGACCCCCGCGCGCGCAACTTACCCGACGACCGACGGAGGGCGATCGCCGGTTACCTGGACGTAGTACGAGGTGGAAACAGCAGCGGCAAGCGGGTGAATTTGAAGCGCCCCCTGCATCCGCACATGGCACGCAGTCTCGACATCCTGAAATCTCACTTTGCGCAGACGACCCTGGTCGATCAAGACACTTTCCTCAGCTCCGAACAGGCGCAGCGTCTGCTGGCTCTCTTGCCGGATAAGGGCCTGAATGAGTCCCTCCGCAAGAAGTGGGAGTCTTCGCCCGACCGCACCAGCGTCAATAAGTGGGCTGATATCGATGCGCTCGCCAAGACGGGCAAGAGCAGCACTCTCAATCCGACCATCCTCCGCGATGCCAAGCAGGATATCGTGTTGGAGTACACATACCCCCGACTGGATTCCGAGGTCAGCAAGAAGATGATTCACTTGCTCAAGAGCCCATTCGTGATTCACCCCGGCACGGGTCGCGTGTGTGTTCCTATCGACGCCCGCAAGGCAGAACAGTTCGATCCCCTCTCGGTGCCGACGGTAACGCAACTGCTCGCGGAGATTGACGCGTGGGATGCGGAGCATCCTAGCACCAATGCAGGACCGGAGGCTGTCGATGCAGAGGGCAGTGTAGCAGACTCTGATGTGAAGGGAAGCCGCAGGGTACAGGACTACGAAAAAACGAGCTTGAAACCATACATCGACTATTTCCGTTCCTTCATTGCCGGCCTGCTCAAGGAGGAGCGTGTTGGCAAACGGGAACGGAACGAGGACGTCGAGGAGGCAAAGCCTGAAAGCATGGAATTTTAGACCCTGGCTTTCCTTCTAGTCTATTCTCGCTGTCGTTGCGGTGTCTAACGTTTTTTTGTGAATTCCAGTCTGGGTGGTGCATATGGGTATGATTTTGAAGCGTTGGAGTATGTGCTTTGAAGGTCGAGTTATTGGCGTATGAGAGATCTTTATGGCGGTTGAGCCGTGTTCTGTGTAAATACTGTATTGGGTTATACTCTTTTGCTTAGTTATGTGGCTGCAGACTGGTTATCAAAGACACCACATAACGAAATAGGACAGGATAAGGCCGTGTTTTCGGTCATAATTACATTTTTTATTCATTTCTATGTTAATACATGATATGGCTGTCGAAAACACAGCACTTCCTGATTACTGAGCACAAAAGCCTGGTTTGAGTAAGACTAAGAGTGCAAGATAATATAGGTGAAGCTTGGAGCCACCATTCCAAAGCATGCTACATGGGACTTGAGAAAATATCAAATTTCGTGTCCGCATCATTTAAGCAGCAACGAAGTTCTTGACACCTGGAAGAGCTTTTTTAGCGAAGGAACCAACAGAGGGGAAAAAACCCAGGGAATACGTACTCTCGAGCCAGCGCACGTACTCCTTCTGCTCTTTGACTTGAATGTAGTCGGGGATCATGGTGGCAAGCTCAGCGTTGATGCCTCTCACATCAAGGTAACGGTCGACGAAGTTCTGAAGCTCCTCGTCGAGGTTCTCGAAAGGAGGACCAGCGTACAGGCTCTGTCTAGCCCAGTCCTTCTCGGCAGTCTGGGCAAGAGCCAAATCGGGCTTGTTGAAGTAGGAGAGCTCCTCGACCTGGAATACGCCGTCGCTGCACAGAGTCTGGATCAAGAGAGCGCCACTGCCAGGCTTCTCAATGGTAATGTTGACACGGGCCGGGAAGCTAGGTTCAAGATCGTCGATATCGAGCTCGTCACGGTCGGAAGGAGCGATACGGTCCTCAGGAAGCTGGGAAATGCCTGCGCGACCTTGGTTAGCAGGCTGGTGGGCTCCGAAGTCGTTTGCGTCCATCAGACCATCAGCGGAAAAGTCCTCCTGCTCGCTCAAGTTTTGGAGGTCTGCGACGGTAAAAGTAAGGCGAATCCTGAACGTCAAGAAAGACACAATTAGGACGGGAATGATGGATGACAAGGCGGGATAGAAGCTTCCTTACTCTTCCTTGCCGAACTTTTTGGTCAGTGTGACCTCCTGCTCGCCGGGGATATCCTTGACCTGAAAATTAAAGATATATGAGCTGATACAGTCTTACACACGGGTTAAGACAAAAGGACATACCTCCCAAGAATTGTTTTGCAGAACGTATTGAATGTTCTGAACGGAACCTTCCAGGTCCTCAAGACCAGAGGCCTTCTCATGCTTCAGCTCGTCCTCAAGCTTGGCAACAAGTTCGACGTCACCTAAAGTTTTCGGAACATCAGTGGTCAGCATCGCGTGCCAGAGAATGGGCTAAGATTCATGATCGAGCTTTCCGTGCTCAACGAAAGACAGGAATATGGAACGAAGAGGACGGAAGAAAGCTCGAAGAAGGCTGGTGAAAAAATGATGACGATGCGCACGAACGGCGATTGCATGAGCGCTCAATAGCTTCGTCTGGCTAGAATTGTCTTACCCTCGGCAGGAGACTGCTTGAAAGCCCGTGAGGTCGAGAAAGCAGCATACGCAGGCTTGGTAATCTGCTTCAAGGTGAAAGCATTCTGAGAGACAGCGGCGACAGGTCGGGAGATAGTCGCACGAGTAGAGACAGCGAGAGACCGCGCAATCGAGCGGGGAGCGGAGCGAGTAATAGTACGAAGAGACATCATCTTAAAGGTAACGAAGAGTGGATGGATGATAGAAGCGAAATGTGGAGTAAAATGGATGGGGTGGGATGATGGCGAGAAAGAACAAGAGACAATCAAGTGATGATGTGAACGGGAAGGAGCCTGGGACCTCAGGCATCTCTACTTTTCCCAGGGCTCTTCCGCGCCAAGACCCGCAGCTCCGTCTGCTGAGCAATTCGTACTCCGTTGTATACGGTCCAATTCGCGGTGAATGGACTAGCTGAGATTGGGAGAATCCTGTTATCTGGAATAGTACACAAGCCAGAGGCAAAATAATGAAAGTATTTGCGGCATGAGCTGGACTCCTAGGAGAAGAAAGCATGTTTGGAGCATACTACTAGTTAACTGTATAATGCACTTTAAGTATCGGGCAAGCGGCACTTGTCTCGGGGGAAGCACAGATGCTCTGAGAGTTTTAAAAGCACCCAACCCTTTATATGAAAAGACCTTCGCAATCTCTAAAATCACCTGGGGAAATTGTAGAGAGCACTTCTGTGAAAGGGGTTACAGGATGAACTGGTGGTGACCTGGGACATCTCACAATGGAACCATGTACAAGATATTTGCGAAGATGTAGAGTCGATGGCATTCGCATTATGTGATGAAGTGTTCGCCGCAGCTTCCGACTCCAGCATATGGGTATCCAATACTGATCTAAAAAGAGCATTTCAAGAAACGAAAAACCAAAGAAAACATTTTCAGGACATTCCTTTCGGAGGGAATATCGAAGGCTGCTTGCCTCCATCCTTGGTGATCCGGATGAATTTCATAGTGCTCAAGCCAGACCAGTCTCCATTCCACGCTCTAAGCGACTTAATCACACTCTCGTCACTAAGATCAGGCATCCAAAACCCCGTTTTGAACTCCTTATTTTCAACATCGGTGCGTTGCAGCAACGCTTCTTCCCGCTTGCTTGGAGGCCTGCCTTTCCGTCGCTCACTCTGTAATTGTTCAATCTCAGGCACACTGCGGTTGATATACCTGCTTCAAATGTGAGTACCGAAGAAGCGAGAGGATCTTAATTGGCACTTGCACGGTAAATACATACCTCGCCACGATATCCTTCATCTCGTCTTCCGACATGGCTGTCGTATCCTCGGGCAGGGTCTCGTAGAAGTAGGAAATGCGGTCGACTGTGTAAGCCCAAGATTTTGATTAGCAAAAGGCGTCACAGACCAGACAGAGAACTGCAGTGATCGGTTTTACCATATGTTTGTCTACCCCGCGACATATTGGCGGATACTCGAGCGACTCGATCATCTCTAGCGGTGGCACGGCGCAGTCTTCTGGCATCTCTGCTGAACTCGTGAAGAGCCTCAACGGCGCCTCTCTTCTTCGCAATGTGCTTGTGTACTTTCTGCAGCGTCTTCGGCATGTTGACGGCTTTTTCTTCAATCTCCTTTCCGCTAGTTGTATTGTCTTCCAGTTCATCAGCGATTTTTTTTCCCGGCGAATTTCTTTTTTTTTACCGGCAGAATGATTGAGCGGTGAGAGGGAGCACTCAGGCCGCCCCTACGGAACCAATCAGGAAATAAGTTGACTGTCCTTGCCCCATCGCGTTCCTGGCGCGTCAGAGGGGATGAAGATCGAGCATTCCAACCTGGTTGTCTAGGTCATTGTCGTTCACTGGTCATTTAGGGAGGGTGGATGTCTCCTTCCATCGTTCAAAACCACGAGTCTTTCCATGTTCTTCGCTTTCACCATCTGGCTTGACCCTTGAGCACCAGCAGCCGGATTCGACCCCTGTTTGGGCGGTGCCGGTATAGACGTGCTCGGGACTGCAGAGCGCGGGCTGCTATTCCCATCAATAGGGCTCTGACAATGGGAATTAAAGGTGATCCTCCGCTTGGTCTCAACCCTCGAGGATTTGTTCCTAAGTAACGTTCTTCTATTTAGGACTTCATGTTCTTCTCAAATCAATACAGAAACCATGCCACCTGAAAGATTATAGCGGACAGACTCTGGGAGTCGATGCCTATGGATGGTTGCATCGTGGTACGGTCGCATGCTCCGTGGACTTGGTTCTAGATAGGCCCACGAGAAAGTATGTGCTATGAAGCTCGCCAGTTCAACTGTCGTCCTAACGTGATCAAGGCACATCGATTTCGTTCTAAATCGAGTCCGCATGCTTATCTACTTCGGAGTGACGCCATACCTTGTATTTGACGGAGATAATCTTCCGAGCAAAGCTGAGACCGAAGCCAAGCGCCAGAAAAGACGACATGACAGCAAGTCACTTGGAATGGAATTGCTCCGAAAGGGCCGCACGAAAGAAGCATACCAAGAACTGCAGAAGGCGGTCGACGTGACGCCTCTGATGGCTCGTGAACTGATTGAAGAACTGAAGCAAATGAACGTCCAATATGTGGTGGCACCATACGAGGCAGATGCGCAGCTTGTCTACCTGGAGCAACAGGGGATCATCAATGGGATCATCTCAGAAGACTCTGACTTGCTTGTGTTCGGTGCCAAACGCTTGCTTTCCAAACTCGATCAACATGGCGACTGCATCGAAATTGATCGAGCAGATTTCGGGGCTTGTCGGGATGTCAGTTTGATTGGATGGTCGGATGATGAATTTCGGCGTATGTGCATTCTCGCCGGCTGCGATTATCTGGCCAACATTCCACGAATGGGGCTGAAGACGGCCCATCAGAGCATACGAAAATACAAAACCGTGGAGAAAGCCGTGCGCATGCTTCAATTCGACGGCCAATATCACGTTCCTAATGACTATCTTAAGAACTTCAAAGAGGCCGAGCTCACCTTCCTCTATCAGCGAGTCTACTGCCCCAAGGCTGAAAAGCTGGTCACGCTTACGATACCCGAAAGAGATGTGAATATAGAAGATCTGACCTACATCGGCGGCGATGTGGAACCTGAGGTTGCGGTGGGAGTCGCTCGGGGGGATTTGGATCCAGCAACCAAGAACCCATTGGTATTGAGGCCACCAGTTGCAGCGAATTTCACCGAAAAACGACTCACGCATACACTGCAACGTCGGCAGACACTCGGATCAGCCGCTGAACTGAAGCCTAATAAGGCTATCAACTCCTTCTTTACCCCAAAACGAATCCCGTTAGCTGAACTGGATCCGAACAGCCTCACACCTTCACCAAGCCAGCAACGGCTCTTGGAACGCCATGTTAACACTTCCTGGGAAAGTGTTCCTGTTTCAACCCACCCAGTGTTGACGAGATCAGCCTCATCTGCTGCGTCAAACAGATATTCTAGTCCCTTGGTGAGAAGTGTGGATCGGGACTCTTTCGTTACCCACCCTTCCAAGGTGTCTGCTCTGCAATCCTCTAAGCGACAGCGCCTCTGCTCTGATGCAGATGATCGGCACCTGCCAGATGCTCCTACTTGTCGCAGCCGATTCTTTACGAACGGTACTGACGAGTCTAGCCCGAGCGGACTGAAGATTGACCGAAATAAAAAGCCTCGGAAACATTCTTTGGACGTCTTTTCAGATGATTCCATAGAGGATATGATGTCTCAGATTCCGGATCCTGCCGAGACACCCGCAAAGGGTACGAGCGACAAGGACCACGAAGTTGAACAAAACCAATCCTCAGACGAAGCAAATGTGCTCGCGCAGTCCGCAAAAACTGAATCAGACCATGATCTCTCTAAAGATATGAGAGAGAAGCAGGAGAAAGAATGCAATGGCTCTTCAAAGACAGTAAGCTTGGAATCTAATCCGGCTGAGTTCCAGCAAGTCCTCGATTATCACATTGAGAAGCAGAATTCCACACTCCTTTCGAGATTCGCATTTCAGCGGAAAAATAGTAGCGCTCGCTTGGAGAATTTTGGACATGCAGAAACGAATATTCAGCCCAATCATACCGTGTGCTTCTCCGAATCGCAGATTGCCTTGAAAGCCGGGAGTCCGCGGACGCCTCCCAGACGAGGTCGGTCAACGCCCTTGCAACGACTGGGCCAAAGTGCTCTTGCTAGGTCTCGGTCTCTCAACCATCTTTCGTCCTCTTTAGCCGCATTTCGGGCATCGAAGGTGTTGTTACCTCCAGCAAAGCCTGCTCCGGCTGAAGCTTGCAAGAGTAATCTGAGCAGCACCCAGAGTCTGGTGCCGACTTGTCATGGGAGTGAAGATATGATCATCCCCGATAGTGAAGAGGAGGGAGGAGAAGAGGATTCGGAACAGCCCGACTTTGAAGCAATTCGAGGCTTGCAAGCGCCATTCGCAATCGATCTGAAGCGGTTTTCCTTTACCGGTGGTCAATAGAAAGACTTGGAATGCTTGGGCAGGATGATCGGCGCTAATGTCGTCATCGTCAACATAACAATCATCATTGGCGGTGTTCTTTGGAGTATTGTTCACCTTTTGACATACATAGCAGCGGGGTGCCTGGACGTATAAATATCAAGATCTACATGTTGTCTTATAAATCGTGTATACATAGGCTGAGTTGCGGAGTGAGTTGCAAAGACAAGTATTGACCGGAGAACATACACTGTACAATGACGGAGGCAGGGAAAAGGTCACTGCTGGAGTGGGAGTGGGCACGTGCTGATAAGATGGATCGGGGGCTAGCGCGATCAGCGGAGTCGCAGCGGATCCAATGGAGCAGCATGACGGCGGGCGGTGTGGAACGGTTACCGGGGAACCCGCCCGGTAAACAACAGTCCCCGGCGCCAACTGGTCCAGCCTCCCGCTTTTGGTCCGTGATCGGGTACTAGTAGTCTCCGTAGTAGTGCCTTGTCTGGAAGTAGATGCCAGCCTGAATCACTTCATACTCCCAGCCTCCCCAAGAACCCGCGCCCACTCCCATCCGCCTCTCACAACGCAATTCGGTCGGCATTGGACCTTGGAAACCTGCTCCAGCTGAGATCTTGCTCTCCCCTCCCTCTCTCTTCCACTCACTCACTCTCTCCTGTCCCCATTTCCCCTGCCCCCCCTCTCTCCCTCTCTCCGCTTGCCTGTTTCTGGCCTCCATTCAGTCCCATTAACCCACCAGTCCAGTTGGTGACTCTCTTTGTACGGTTCTAACCACAAATATCCACTATTCAGGGCTTCACGTGGGACACTCGAGTCATACATTCTTTCGATCTCGATTGCAATACCGGTCGCGGCCCGTCGCATTGCAACTCGTGTCGTCAACATTCCGCACAATCTCTACACACGCCCTAAAGACATTACCGAACAGCCTTGCATAGTGCTACGGATTCAAGGGTAGACATCAACATTGAAGCTCACTCCCCTCGAAGGAGCTTGTCACCTCTTAAATTGTTCTGTGAGGTTGTGATTCAGAAAAGGTGCGCAGCAACGCCGGTGCAGACTCCTTCTCGGGGTTCCGAGAAGTGAGTCGTGAACCAGAGAAGAGGAGAAGACAGCACCTCCACCAAACAACATGCCTTCGAAGATAGGTTCCCGGCTAGCCCGTATGTATTTCGCTTCGGACGCCCAGTATGCTTGCGGTTATTGACAATTGACCCTGCAGGGTTCCTACCGATGATCGGTTACCACCACGTGCTGATGATTATCATTGCGGTGGCTATCATTCTCCTCTGTCAGTAATTCTCCGATCTCTCGTGCTCCGGAATGCGACTAACGCCGACTAGCCCTATTATTGGCAGGATGCTCGTCATCCTCGCCCCAGATCCCTAGCATTTTTCTGATATCACTCTACTACGAACGATACAGTCCCACCTTCAACCTAGCCCAAGTAGATCCCAATGTGGTCACAGCAACGGCGAACATTGTAGGAGGAGCCGAAATGGAGGTCCGCGTGGGGTATTTCGGAATTTGCGTGCAGCCAGATGCGGGATCATATATTTGCAATGCCAATGCGACAGCTTTGGCTGAGATTGTCACAGTCGACCAAGACCCTCTGAACCTGATTTGGGTGGCATCCACATTCAAAGACGCCGTTGTGTTTCCATACCTACTGTATGTTCCGACCAGGCATTTGTTCTATGCGCCCCTGCTAATCTGCGACAGGATTATCGCCGTCATCCTCGCTTTCTTCTGCTTCATCCTGCTCGCAACATTTCCCGGATGGCACGATGAGCTAGATGCTAGTGGTTCCGAAGTTGAAGCCAAGCCGTTTCCGTCGCGACCAGTTTCGCAAGCCGCCCTTGCTCTGATTTTCGTCGCGTCTGTGTTTGTACTCGTCTCCGTACTCTGGCAACATACTGCATCTGTTGCCGCGAGCACGATCGCCCAGGATATGGGCAACGGCAGTGTGAAAAGTGGTGTCGGTACTTCGGCCATGGTGCTAGGCTGGTTTGGGTTCGGCCTCATGGTAGTTGTGACGATAGGTCTTCTGGTCATGATCCTCAGTATCAGCCTGATCAGACAATTGACGGACGAACCATAAGTCGACCAAGCACTCCGCCTACAACCCACCATTCGATTATTTCGCATTTTGATTCCCCCACCCTGATTTTTACCGCTACGCACACCCCTTGGTTCAATCACTTCCTCTGCTTTCTCCGACACTGCAGACCGCGGCTTTGCACGACGAAGAAACGGCATATACCATAAAACTGCACGTGAATAATGATGCATACTGACATTTGGATTATGGACTTTTTTTTTTTTTTTTTATCAATCTATCTGGTTTTCGATATGAGTTTACGGATACAGGCATTTGGACGGGAAATACGAGTTACGGTCATGGTTTGTTTGTTCGTGTTGTTTAAAGAATCCATTGCGAAAGAGATGCCTAATGATCAAGATGCGGCCAACGAGACGAATTGGTCGGCCGTTCAAACCATCCTTGAGCTCGGCTCATTGGAAGAAATCATATCTTCAAACTGTGTATTTGTTGTTATCTGTATTTTTTTCCCCCCTCTACCGTGTATATCTTTTCTCCTGCGGAATTGAGTATGTGATCGCTCGTCGTTGACATTGTATAAACGCTTACTAAGGCCACATTCAACAACATGTGCGATTGTGATGCTGCCTGCAATGGAGGAAGAGACCTTAGCAGAGGCCAGGTTCGAACTTGTGAAAACTGAAGGCGTCAAGGGGTAAGACAAGAATGTTAGCAAACTAGATAGCCATATGCATTGTGACCATTGAGATCACCAGTCTTCATTGCCAGCTTATTATCTCTACATGGTGTTTACCAAAGGTAGATTAAGTTATCCAACAGCAGAAGTTCTGCACTTAGCCCTTATGATTCCCCTAGATCAAGTATAACAACCATGGTATTCTCTAGGCAATCTCAAGGGCGTAATTGAGCTTCATTCTGGATTCCCAAACCGGTTTTAGGTGTACTGTGTGTAGTTACAGTACAGGATCTCTTTTGGGGAGTGGTTTGTGTCTTCAATACTGCTAGCCTTGTCTCGTTACGTTAACCCTTCAGTCTTTGATACTTGAATACTCTCTCTCTCTCGCTCGCTCGCTCGCTCAATTTCTGAATGTGTGCATGTAGTTCATCACTGCTGAAGACAACCCCATCGCTGTCAAGCAGTATCTAAACTCGAATCATAATTTGGGCAAAGGATTCTCGCTGTGTTGGTCCGACCGTCCTTCAACTCTGACTCATGCTGGTCTTGCATTTCCCTGCTTGCCCCCTCCCCCCCCCCCCCCCCCCCCCCCCCAAAGTCTAGTAATACTGAAAACGAGAAATATAGGAGTCTTTGAGCACGACGCCTTTAAAGTATCTGGTACAAGATGGATGATATGAGCCAGAATTTTTGGCCGTCACATCAGATCTGTAAAAACGAGATGGTGTGCTGACCATGGTTCCTTATTAGATAATCTGCAGGTTAGAAAACAGCATCTTTCTGCGCGCAGACATACATAGTAAATTAACTCTGACAATCGGCCGATGGAAGAAGAGTATTTCCCTTCTTCTTTACTTTTTCTCTTTATTTTTCCCGTTCAAATTCTTCTTTTTTTTGGTTTTTAGTAATTCATCACAGGGGGGCCTCCGCCTGTTCCCAGCTTCTCCTCGTGGTTGGCATCGTAGCCACCGCCATAGTCATCGAGAGATCTGTAACCGGGAGGGCCATTGTTGTCACGGCCACGACCGCGACCACGGTTACCTCCGCGGTTCTGGTGGCCGCGGCCCCGCCCTGCCGCTCCACGACCACGGCCACGGAAGGCGTTGCCCCGACGCGGGCCGTCATCGTGGTGATGGCGGCCACTATTACGCGGATGATTTGGCTGCTGTCTTCCGTGGTGTGGTGCGGAAGTGCCATCATATGTAGCAGGCTGCTCTGAGTGCGGCGGGTACAGAATTTCCTCATTGCGTTCCTGCTGGTGCCGTCTCTTGTGGTTCTTGTTGAGGAACTGGCTCTCCCACTCGCCCTCGTTGGGGTTCTCTTCCTCAACGCGCAGCACCACCTTCTCCCCGACTACGGTGTCCACGGTGAAAGCCTTGTCCGTGGGCACGGGGTGCCAATTCTGGATCTTGCCGGCGTCAATGGGACGGGCGCCTTTGCGCACCGCTAGTACCACGACGGGCTGGGGGTTCTCTGTGTAGTATTTTTCGGTGGCGGGGATGGGTGCCATGCGAGCCGCCCAGACTCGGTTCTCAAAACAGGCAGTCCCTGTGATCTGCCAGCTCAGTTTCTTACCGATGCCACCGACCTTGTCCAGTATGGATCGGGGGGCCGGGCGGGGGGTTATTAGTATACTGTTGGCCATGTACTTCAGGTCGTTGGAGTCAGCCAGCCCGTAGGGTAGCATGGGACTCAATACTTGGCGGATCAACCGATTCGAGTCAGCATTTGAAATCAAATAGCCAGTGTAGAAGATCGTGCGCTTGATGCGCAGCCGACCATACGGCGACCTTGCCTTGTTTAGTGACGAATTCCGGGTGGCCGTGTTGTGAGAATTAATCATGCGCTGTACTTCAGCTGTTTCCAGCACAGGGTCAAGATACATGGAGCCTTCAGCCACTTGAATGACTTCCGCACTAAGTGGCTTTCTCGGGCTGGGGCCCTGCAAAGTCTGGAACTTGCGGTTCAGCTGCTCAAAGTACTCCCGAAAGCCTTTGGCACTGGGCAGAAGGTCAGACGCTCCGGCAGCAGGAAGGGACAACAAGGAAAAGAGGGAAGACGTACTGCTTCGGGCGGTCTTCGTAGATGCGAAGCTCTTCTGCCTGCTCGTACGTGAGAATGAGATCTTCCAAGAAGGTCTGTTTGAACTCCATCGTGCTAGCGAATCGCTGACTCCTCGGGCCGACTTCCGGCTTGAGACATATTAAGTCAAACTCCAGCTTTTTACTGTCCACCATCCGCTTGACAATCTCGGAGAACCCACTCTCGCTGCGGCCCGTGAGCAGCACCGTCAAAGCGTCCTTTTGCTCCATGCTTAGTCTGACGAGTTGTACCTGGGGAACGTATCAGCCACCCGCCGTCGCTTTCAGCCCAGAAGGTCAAAATGAGTATCGCACGATCTGTTCATTCCACCACCCCTCCCACGCACGCGGCTCTTCCTTTTCGATACCTTCTCCCGTCGCTGAGAGCAAGTTCGGGTCGTGCCACCAACCGCCGTTCGCGAAGCTCTCATAAGCTTGCAGGAAGCCAATTGTCGGGCCATTCCAGAGTTGTGGGTTGGGAAGTGGACTCAGGAATACTTCAAGGCATTAGCTGCGAAGCAAATTCGGCGTAATGGCGCAGGAGGGACGAGTCGATGCTTACATGTATTGTCGAAGTCGTAGACATGAATGGACTTGACCTGCGGCACGGCTGTGGCGCAAGATAGATGAGGACTTGTTAGCCAGGAGAGTTCTCATAGCGATGTGTTGTCGTAGAAGTGAGCCTCACCTGGTAATTCCTTGTTCGTGATCGACCACCGTCTTAGACTCGTGATAGTGCGCGCGGGCGCGCCGTGGGTGTGATTCCTCATCTTTAGAGCGTTCTCTGCGACTACCGATCTTGCAGATCTCATGACCTTCAGCATGAATGAAGTATAAGATGAGGAAATGCAGAGTCTTCCCGTGCACAGCTACAGCGTGCTGAAAATGGGGGAGGATTCGCCGCGGAGATTTCGCCGCATGCCACAGACCGGCGCAAAGAGCGGGCAGTTTGGACAAGTCCGGCAGGCGGAACTGGACCCGGTCTTTACGGCGCTTATCGTCTCCCGTATCAATTCTGCCCGTCATACTCCCCAGTCCCTCCATATCTCCAGGCGGTAAGTAAGCTGACAATGACGTTTCACCAAAGGCGGTCAGCAATTCCTCGCCTTCTGCGATAGTTAGGATTCCCAAAACCTTCCTGCTTTGATCATTATCAATTTCTCACTCAATGCGCGAGCGGGTGTAGCTTCCCATGTCCGATGATGAAGACCTACGGCAAAAGATACTGCAACGGACTCTTCAGGAGGTAACCCAAGAAGAGGGCGAGCACGAGGCAAATCCTTGTGTTATCTGCCTCGAACCCGTCTCCGAAACCGCCATCGCGGTGCCCTGCAAGCATGCAAACTTCGACTTTTTGTGTCTGCTGAGCTGGCTGGAACAGCGGCGGAACTGTCCGCTCTGTATGTCTTTCGCATCTCCTCTAGCCTGCATGTATGTGTCCTGCAAGAGTCTCCACTAATTACCAGATTCTAGGTAAGAGCGACGTCTCCTCGGTCAAATACGGCCTTGACAGCCCCCAGGGACCTAAAGTCTATAATCTTCCACCTCCACGGCCAGGGACTACCAGCGCACCCTTTTCTCATTCAAGCGCATCACACTTCATTCATCGTCTCCCATCTCGCCGTCCGCGCCGCGCTCGAAGCCCCGCAAATAGGCCCCAGCACCAAGGCCAACCGAGCGAGGACCCCCTCCGCCGACGCCAATACATCTATCGCCACCAACTCTACTCCCTTCGTGTTGGTTCGAACCGTCTCTCCCAATACCGTGAGCTCACTCCCGACCGCTTCAACCGGGAGGAGGAGCTCGTCTCTCGCGCCCGTAAATGGATCCGTCGCGAACTCAAAGTGTTTGCTTTTCTGAACCCGTCGACTGAGTCCGTCGGCCTTCAAGAGGCAGGTGGAGACTTGAGCTCGGCCCAGCGACAACAAGCCGGTACTCCTCGAACTGGTTATCAGCGATTGGAGAACCGACGCGGCAATAATGCCGAATTTCTGCTCGAGTACATCATCGCGATCCTCCGCACGGTCGATATCAAGGGCAGCGCAGGCCAGGCGGAAGAGCTGCTGCGAGACTTTTTAGGCAGGGAGAATGCGCGCTTGTTTCTGCATGAGCTCCAGGCTTGGTTGCGGAGTCCGTATACATCCTTGGAGGATTGGGATCGGCATGTGCAGTATGAGGATATGGCGCGCCGACAGGGAGAGGCGTCAGCGCAGGAGCTGATGATGGTTCGTCGGCGTCAACGCCTGTTTATGGCTCCGGAGCCTCACATATTCGGGGAAGAAGAGGAAGAGGCCGCCTAGGGAGGGGTAGAGTGGCAAAGTCGGCTCAATCGCGGAGACAGCCATATCAACGCGGAAGCCAGGAGCAAGCCAGAAGGGTACAATATGCTCGAGAGCGGTATATACCAGACTGACGTAGAACAGGCTGGGTGCATTTTGCAGCGTTTTGTGGAGTTATGGATGATGTGTAGCATATACTATGAATGATGCATGCTATAGACAAATGTATGAATGGCAAGACTGGTATCTTGAAACGCGGCTAGAAGAATACGCTATGGGGGTAATCATGGCTCGTGATCTGTAGGTTGGTGTTTTATCGCCGCCTGCCGAAACGCCCAGCGCCTCGTCCCTTGGAGTTCTTATTCCGAATTTTTAAGGACCGGTAATTAGCATGCGCTTCCGGGTTGACCTTGCGCGCGCGAGGCTTGCTGGGCTCGGCATCCTTCACTTGCGCCTGTCGTTGTGGTGGCGGCTGCTCTGGATTCTCTGGGGCCGGCGGTTTGCCGGCCGCGATAGCCTCTTTCATCTTTTCGGAGAAGCTCTTGCTTTTCTCCCGAGGCTGAGCATCTTCATCGTACTCTGGGTCGAAGTCTGAGAAGTCCGGATCTGACATGGTGTGCAGCGAGTTGAGGTCATCCAGATCAGGAATATCCATGTGGCTGTTATCCAGGGCACCAGGGCCTAGCCGTGGCCGCTGAGTCTCAGGGACGGCGGCGACCTCATCTGGACCACCATGACGGTTGCCCTCATCATCCTCGGCAAGAAACGCGGGTTCGGGGGCGGATTGTGTCGATGTCGAGACCACTGGCTTCATGCGCACCTTGCGGGTCGTCCGCTTTTGACCCTTCTTCTTCCAGACCGGACCACCCTGATTCTCCGCGGCGGCCTGGCTATCGGCCACCTGAGCGTTCATGGCCGCCTGCTCGGCCTCAATCTCTCTCAGAACGTCCAGATCATCCTGCATCTGCTCCTCTTCCATGTCCCGCAGACTCTGCACCAGAGCCGTGAGCCCTTTCCCAATGAACGAAGGTCTTTGTCGCGCAGCCATCGGACTCAGGCCCCCCGTAAAATTCGAACTGTCGTACCGTCCCGACGTCGACCGTCGCAGGAACGAGGGGGTCCCTGACTCGTTCGGCTCCCCCGCGGCCGCCGTCGTCGCTGGGCCTCCCTCTGCTCCTCCCATACCCACCGCCTCTGTTCCCCCTTTCTTCAACCCATCATCCATCATAGTCGCATACCGCCAGGTCGTGGGCGTCGCAAACAGCGTCGACAACATCCACTTCTTCCCCGAAGACGTCGGAGTCCTCCCCAACCGCGAACTATCATCCTCATCATCATTATCACCATCATCCTCGCCCTCGTCCTCCTCCCCCTCCTCCGCAATCGTATCCAGTGTCTTCCTCTTCCTCCTCCCCCGCCTCGACGGCGTCTGCACATTCGCATCCTTCAACCCCGCCATCCTTACCGCCGACGGCGTAGCCGTACTGCCCCCGGACTCAGACAAAAGATCAAAGAGCCCTAACGCCTTCCCATCGCGCTGGGGTGTCGGCCCGATCGCCGCTTTCAGGGGCGAGAGATGCGTGCTCGGGCTGAACAACCGCCGAAGAACGGAGGGGGAATCGTAGGGATCGACTTCCGCCGGGTGATTTATGTTCGGCTTTTTGGATGGCGTCTCAAACGCCTTCCCTGTTGCGCCCTTGCCGGCGGGCAGCCTTTGTTTCCGTGGGGTGGAGAGATTTAGCGCAGTGTCTGGGCCATGGGGGGAGGTGTGTTTTCGTTTCTTCTTGTCGAGGTTCTCATCTGTCGTTTCTGTCTTCTTGTTGTTGTTGTTGCTGCTGTTGTTCTTGGCGGAGGAGGACTCGAGGGATTTGAGGCGCGAGTATTCTTTGTATTTGGCGGCTGTGGAAAGGGGTTTGGGTGGCGTTAGCAGGGATCAATCTTGTATCGCGTGAAGAGTGCATGCATGCAAGCGTCCGCTGCCCTCTTCCTTTGAGCAGCATGAAGAAGGAAAAAAAGACACATACCAATTTCAGGAACCTTTTTGATATCCCCTCGATCGGCTTTTCTGCCCCCGTTGGCATCGGCAAACGCCCTCTCCCATTCCTTCAGCTCCGCGCGGAGGTTGGCGGAGTGCGTTGTTGCTGCTGCTGGTGCTGCTGGTGGCTCGGATACCATGGCGGTGGCCATTATTGCATGGTTGTTGGTCTTGTGCTAAACGCTAAATATAATAAGAGTTTACGAGTAGTAGGTATAATCCTTGCTGGGATTTCTTGAAATTGGTCGTCTGTGTATGTTGTAAAGGGGCCGGGTGAAAGGCGTGGTAATAACTTAGTACTTCGGCGGTTGGCCCCGTCGCGTGCGCGAAAATCAATTAACGCGGGTTTTGGTTAAGGTGGGGTGACGTAGCGTGTCTCGACCGTGGCCTACTGGCTACACCATAGTTTATTCTTCATCAGAACACCAAGTCTTAAGTAGTTAAGTAGCTGAGCAATTGCATCCACCACTGACTTAATTTGAATTGGGTATTAGGTAAGTTCATTAATTTATGCTTTTACAGACATCATATCTTCATGGGAAAAAAAAAGAAAAGAAACAAACAAAGAAATAGTCTATCACCAACTCGTCAAGCCCCGACACCTGTCGAACCCTCCCCGTAATTGCGACTCGGGATGCACCACCTTGCCCTGCAGAAGCGTGTACTTGACGATCCCTTCGCAGTGTTCAGGTCTGATTCGGGCCAGCCAGATCATCTGCTCCTGCTCTTTGCGGTAAATCAGAACGTTCGCAGAAAACTTGTGGCCGCCAACGTGCGAGACGAAGAAAATGCCGACTCCCCCGGGTCGATCATCGTTTGTGTCGCGATAGAGCCCCAGCGGCCGGAGCTGGCGCTCGAGCTCCTTCTTGATCAGCGGAGCGGTGATGCCGCAGCGCGCATCGCGCCGTCGGTGCGAACAGAGCAGGACCACGTAGTCGTACTGGCAAGGACGTGGGGACAGTCGCGACGTGGGGGACTCGGGAACGATGCCTTTGTTGGATAGCGGAGCGTCAATGTATCGGTCCACGACCTCCCGCACGTCGGTGCTTTGTACGGAGTCAAGAAAGGTGAAGGAAGGAAGAAGGAGGATTGTGGTTCCGTGGGTGCTGTCTTGGTCCTCTTCGTGGTGGGACTGGAGGTTTGAGGCGGAGATCATCATGCGCTGGGTTCCCAAATTAGCGGTCGTGCGCCTGGACACAAAGTACCGGAAGTACAGTACGTACCCCATGCTTTGACTGGTTGGAGGGAGCATCGAATGCCTCCATGAGGGATCCCTTCTCACTCTCCACATGTTCTGTCCAGTCCGACTTGCCCGTCGCAATCAGGACATGGGTATGGAATTCCTTGATATGCCCGTACAGTGGTCTGGTGGTTTCGACCTTCACCTTTGGGGGAAATTGCACTGTGCAGTCAGCGCAGTCTTTCTGACAGTCAGGTCCATCTTCTGTGGGGTCCACGCGGGGGAAGATGTAGTCGTCGCGGATGAGACCCCCGCGCGACAGGAGTGATCGAAACATCGTGACTATATCCCCTTGGGGCGCTTTTGAGATTAATGACGATGTTTTTTCGGTTTTCCGGTTTCACCAAAGAACATGAACCGAAAAACAGGGCTTGATGTGATCTGAGTCGACAACCTATTCTCATGGTGGGGTCATATACTCGATACAGCTCGGAGACGGACTATCACCAACCATCATCTCCGAGGCTTATGTCCGACGGACTGGGTGAAAATAGGCAACCATCGTTGTGCTCCGGAGTGCGCTGGGATGTCGGGGAATGTCTCGGGGACAATGACCGTCAGGGCCTGTCAGACGGCCGACTGCAGGCTGCAACGAATATCACTACCCAGGTAAGTTTGGGATGTCTTCCAAGTCTAGCTGCGGCAGAGTCCACCCGGCGAACTATAACTGCTGTCCATTAAGTTAAGCACAGCAGAGAAATGCCTAATGACAGCATCGCCACCGGCTCATTAGTTTCAACGGTCAAAGTCTCTGGCTCCATAACTCTATCTATCGCATCCAATTGACCCGAGAGCCATAAATCCTCATCAATATCTGCCACCACAAAAAGCGGTGCATCAAATTTGCGCCGGCCTCCGCCAGTGGGACTCCGGCCCGTATTTTGCTTGCCGGGACCCTCCTTCCAGCCACTTGTCGCTAGACTCAGACGGGCAACATCCCTGTCATTCATCATTGACTCTGGTATAGTCGCTGCAAGATGTCTGAGAGATTGAGAAACAACCACGGACTTGCCGACCGTAGCCGTAAGAGTTCTTATTTAAGACACTGCCTCGATAGCTCGTAAAATGTGATCAGCCTGATCAGCCTGATCAGCCGAAGAACGAAAGGCCAGTCCGGCTCACTCACTTTCAGCTCTTACAAGTTACCACAAATGAAAATACGACAGACAGTTCCATTGTTGATCATCATTATTAAAAGAAACAGAAGCAGAAAACGAAGATTGTCTCTGCGTGCAGCGTCGGCGATGGTTCTTGTTCTTGGCATGATGTGAAACCCAGACCGGGTCAGGTTGCCCCATTTGGTGGATTCGACCGGCGGTACCAACACGTAAGCCACACTATATTGTGGTCCAAGTTGGGTTTTATGTGCTTTGCCCGCAGGCCAGTTGGTAGTAGTTTTTGGAGGGGGAAAACAGCCATACATTTTGGCGGTGGTGCGCATACCTCCCCATCTTCCCTCCCTCCTCCCCTCCCCCTCCAATTTATTCAAGTTCTCTCACGACCACATCCATCCCCCTTCTCCTCCCCCCCCCTTTTTACCTTCTTCACTTATGGCTGATGTTCAGTTGAAATTGGGTGCTTCGGCCCCAATTTCTCAAGCTGAACAACAGCATCAACAGCCACAGCAACACCAGCATCGGGTGCGCAAGCGTCGTCGGCGGACAATGGCGTGTATGCAATGCCGCAGCAGAAAGCTGCGTTGCGACCGTGAATATCCCGTATGCGGGCGTTGTCAGAAGAGCAAAACCCCAACCCGATGCACCTACGAGGATGGATTTCTCTGGCAGCAACCCAATACAGTTGCTTCGCCCGTATTCTCCGAGAAAGGTCCCACAGCCACGACACAAATGGCCCCGACTGATCGGGCGACTGCCCACCCTACCCCGGATTCGGGGATAAGTAGTTTGCCGACTCGGCCTCAACCTATCTCCAGGGACTCACGTCCCGGGGAAGAGAGGCGCGATAAGTTCTTGGAAACTGTTCTCGGCGCTCCCAAGGCTGCCGTCAATCAAGAGCCTTACGCAAATACTAGCCTGTTGCAGCGTCCTCGCCAGGTGCTCGAGCTGCATCAGGAAACCCAACCGCACCACCCCGGGGAGGACGAGGAAGACCTTGCGTCGCCCACGCAGCAGCTAGACATCTCGCCGCGGATCATGATGCGAGGTCGAGAAACCAAGACTCGCTACAATGGCTCGGGCATATTTGCCAATCTGATAGCTCAGGTATGCCGCCCTGTAATCCTGTCCGATGACTCCGGTCGAGTGACACACCGACGATCTGATTGGTCATGCCGCAAAGTCACTCTTGTTGATTGCATGCTTTAGTTTCCCGACCTCAGAGCCTTTGCAGAGGAGATTAGGGTTGCCAGCCCTCATCTCTCTGCCTTGCGCCCGGATCTTATCAGGGTCAAAAAGGGCCTCTGGAAGAGGAAGCCATTAAATGAACCATTCCCAATGCCCACCATGCAATCATTAATCACCATGCTTCCTTCTCGCCCCGTGGTCGACGAGTTGGTCTATTTGTATTGCAGCTATATCGAGTCTTCCCATCGCATCCTTCACATGCCCTCATTTGTGGAGGAACTGGAGCAATTCTGGACACAGCGAGACAGCCCTGACATGACTTCCCCCATCTTTGTGGTGCAACTTCTCCTAGTACTAGCATGTGCATGGAACCTGGCTGATCTCAGCGCTCTCCAAATGAAGAATGAGGCCAATCTCTCATGCTATACGGCCATTGAATGGATTCTCCACGCGGAGAAGTGGATGGAAAACGCCAATTTCAAACGGCCCGAGCTCGCAACCCTCCGCCTAGAAACGCTGCTCATTACCGCTCAGAATATCCATGGCATGAAGCGCAGCCAGGCCTGGCTTGCCACCGGGACTCTGGTCAAGCGGGCCATGATGGCAGGGTATCACCGCGACCCCAGTCGATATACCAAGATCTCCGCTTTTAGCATGGAAATGCGCCGACGCATGTGGGCTACCATCGTGGAACTCGACCTTCAAATATCCTTGGAACGCGGCATGCCCCCTTCCGTGCAAGAGGATGACTATGACACATTTCCAGCACTGAATATCGACGATGCGGACATCCACGAAGATAGCACTGAACTACCGAAAGAAAAGCCGCTGGAGGTGTTGACAGATTCTTCCTTCCAGGCAGTGCTGAGCCAATCTCTTCCTCTACGGCTCAAAGCCTGTGCCCTGATGCACTCTCCTCGAATCAGCTGTCGATATGAGGAGATCATACGTCTGGATTGGGAACTGAATCGTCATCTGTCCAGGATCCCCACCTGGCCGACACCTGAAATGGACGACTTCCATCGTACCTCAGACCGGGTAGTCTTGATCAAGGCTCTTTTGACGAACAAGATTGGTCACTCGCTCTTGTCTATTCACACACCCTTCGCCATTGAAGCTCCCAAGGAAGCTCTTTTCGCACCGTCGGCTCGGTCCCGCCTTGAAGTCGCGTCGATGATTCTTTCCACTCAGCGGCGGCTCCGTGAGATGTCGACTCCGCTTTCGCTCTGCAATATGGGAGAGTGGACAGTGCAGGCTTACTGCACTATATGCCAGCTCCTCCACGAAAAGGACGGTACCGCCGGTGAGTTGTTTTCTGACTTGACATATTTATGCAATATGCTAATTGAATCACTAGGCGGTTTTTCTACCTCTCTCACTCGTACCCTACCCGGGCTCCCCGAGTTCTTGATCTCCCTGGTGGAGACCACGCTGACCTGCCTCGAATCCCGTCTGCTTCTCGTGGTGAAAGGAGCGAAAGAATACTTTTTCATGTCGACCATCCTGGCGCTGGTCAAAGCCTCTCTCTGGCCCAGCCAGTCCCATATTTACAAACAAGAGGTAGTGGAACGTGTAATCCTGTTCGCACAGACCCTCTTCACCCGACATGCCAACTGCGCTCACCTGGGGGATTGGGGCATGGGTAGTTTCAAGACCAACCAGGTAGGTGTTTCAGTCATATTCTAGTCGACTTTCGATCTGTTCGGTCGCTTACTTGCATGTTTTTGCAGGTTCCGAGCCTCAATGGTGGCCCTGGCATGGCACCGCCCTTTGTTCCAGACGTAGCGGTCGGGCAGCCGGGGACCTTCGGCATGGTGGTTAGTGTCTTCTACCTCTCTTTCCCTCTCGAATCCAGCTCACACTCTGTCTAGCCCACTGTAGATCCGTTTCTCGACTCCTTTGACTGGGCCGACTTGACGGGCATAACGTTCTAGCGACGATGTAAGAGTAGATGTCACATAACGCCCTATCATGACGATAAGTGTTTGACCACTGTACAAATAACGAGTACAGTTGATCCCTTGTATTACCTGTTGATAACTCCCGGAGTATGCCACATTCTGAAGGAAGCCTTAGTCAGAGGGGTGAAGATCACCGTGGCAGTGACGCCATGGCGATCGGAATTGAGCGACGATCGACGGCACGGCATCGATGTCACCGGATAGTCATACCCCCACGCTCCCCGTCCGGTTTTGTATGAATTGGCACCGATCGAGTCCACGCCGTACTGACATCAACTAGTCTTACCGAGGAGAGATGCCTGGTGCATGAAGACATTGATTGATCACCCAGCAAATGATGCAAGATGCAACGAACACCTGGGGGTCGCGGAGTGATCATCCTGTCCAAGGTAGTCGTGCGGTGTGAGCTTTTCTGTACGTCAGTCGCTGGCTATGATTTACTGTATGTATGATAGATGGAGGATCTTGACGTAGGGACTGGATGTACCTCAAATCTCCAGGGATTGAGTTAGAGAGTGGTGTTTTTTTTTTTTTCAAAGGCTACCACTAGGGGTCGATGTACACAGATAAGAGTTACCGACACTGGCTACGGTAGGTACTAGGTACCTAATGAGTGTATTTATAGCAGACCAATCGGTAAACTGGAACCCTGCACACTGCCATTCATGACTGCCGCAGATTGTATGCAGGGCCTTCCTCTTGTGTTGTGGTACTCCGTATGGATACACCCCTGAATGATCAATATCTTACCAGTAATTACCAGATAAGAGCGGCTATTGAAAGCGTAAAAGTGGGAACCTGACCATACAGGAACGATAAAATAAAAACAACAATTGTTGTTGATCGCCTCTCCCTCAATCTTCCCTCAACTCTCTCTTCAGGCTCCAACTTTTGTGTCCCACTTGGCCCAGGGTCTGGAGTCTAATCTAGACAGTACTAGACTACCGCCATCTCTGTCTCTCAGTCCTGTTTTCAGACTACTGCATTCTCCGCTCATTTGTTTCGTATCCAATGAAGTTCAATGCAAGATGGCTAATCGTCAGAGCGGCCCATTGAGGCTGTCTACGATGTGTACAGCCATTGCACATACAGTGAAAGTCCACTTCAGCCACTCTATGCTAGTATATCTTAGTCCAATCCCCCCCCGGGATTCTGGTCTGATTAAATTTGAAAATTTTTCCACTTCTGGTTCCTACCGTCCACCAGTGCGTCGCTTCATCCTCCCCGCAGCCTGAGCGAAGCAGACGGGCGTCCAATGAATCTCCTCACCGTGCTGAGCACGACCATTCTACTATCCACGGTCAACGGCAGCTCGCAATCCGACACCCAAACACAGAATGACACTTCGCACTTCTCCCAAACCACCAAATACCCTCTTCCCAACGTGGGCAACGTAGCCGCCCACGACCCCAATATCCTGCGCCACGATGGGGCCTACTGGCTTTTTAAGGGCGGTGTCCACCTCCCCATGTACAAGGCCTCCAGCATGTCCGGGCCCTGGACGCAGCTCGGCACCGTCCTCGACGGCGACAGCATCATCCCCAAGCAGAACAGCAGTCGCCCCTGGGCGCCGACCGCCATCGAGTGGAACGACACGTTCTACTGCTTCTACTCGATCAGCAAAGCCGGCAGCCGTGACAGCGCCATTGGTGTTGCGACCTCGACAACGCAATTGGATCCGGGCAGCTGGACGGACCACGGCGCGCTGATCAACACCGGCCAGGGCAATGGGTCGGATACGGCCCCCTACACGGACTCGAATGCCATCGACCCGGCCTTTATCGAGGAGCAGACGACGGGCCAGCCTTTCTTGTTGTATGGGAGCTACTGGCACGGCATCTATCTGGTACCGCTGGATGCGGACCTGCTGTCCGTCAAGGCGCCGGGGCAACCTAATGCAACGACGACGAACCTGGTCTATCAGCCGGATGGGAAGGTGAAGCCGGTGGAGGGGTCATTTATGAGCTACCGGGAGCCTTATTATTATCTTTGGTTCAGTCATGGCAAATGTTGTGGGTTTGACAATGGGTTTCCGGCTAAGGGAAAGGAGTGAGTTCTGCTCTGAGGGTTCTTTCTGAATGGATCCGCGTTGATTGCTGACTACGCTGGGGCGGGGGGAGTGAATAGGTATAGCATTCGGGTTGGTCGGTCGCAGGATGTGAGAGGGCCATTCGTGGATAAAGATGGCCACCAGTTGATCGATGGAGGCGGGACGGTGGTCTATGGCTCGAATCATGGATCGGTTTATGCTCCCGGAGGGGTGGGTGTTTTGTCGGGTACAGATGGGGACTCGGATGTTCTGTACTATCATTACCGTGAGTTGGCTTTTGGGTGTCTCAGGAGTGGGCTAACCCCCATTGGTAGTCAATACTTCGATTGGATTCAAGGATACTGTAGGTGAAGCTCATGCTGTGCAGTGAGACCATGCTGACCCCGCTCTAGGATGCGCAGCTGGGCTGGAACTACCTCAAGTATCAGGACGGATGGCCAGTCGCTCACTCAGGGTATGTGTTTTCTCCCTGCTGGCCATGACTGTGCTAATGTCGAATGCAGAGACAACAGCACCGGAACGAGCGAAAGCAGCGGTGGCACGGTTCGACCGAGCTATCTGCTACATATTCTTGCATTCAGTATGATGTTCTTGCGCCTTTGATCTAGCGACATACTAACAATGCACCTAGTTACTTGGGGCTATCTTTGGCTGCCCAGTTGGTGAATCATGCTGGCAGACTTGATAGATGATTACCCGTGCAGATAATCTTAGATGATGCATGGCGACACGAGATAACACGAATGAAACGACAAATAGACCTGCTACACACTAGATACCTGGCATCTAATTCGCAAACAACATATAGCACATAATTTCCACCAAAGTCGAATGCATACTCGGCATTGAGACAGCATGTACAATCTACACGAACTTGAAGTCACGGATCCCAGCCACCGTCCACAATCAACACCTGCCCCGTGATATACGAACTCGCATCGCTCAGCAGGAACACCACCGACTCTGCCACCTCCTCCGCAGTACCTAATCTCGAGAAGACGGTAGGCATTGCATTCAGTGTTCCACCCTGGATCTCCACCGCTTGATCCAACAACGGCGTCTGAATCGAGCCCCTAAACCGGCAAATACATAGCTTAGCGAGTCACATCTAAACCCAACCAACCCCAACCCCCATAACCACGCAAAAGAAAAGGAAAATCAAAACCTACGGCGCAACAGCATTAACCCTCACCCATCGGCCCCACCTCCTTAGCCACACTCCTCGTCAACCCCACCACCCCATGCTTCGTCGCCGAATACGCCGCATGGCGCGCAAACCCATGCAGATCCTGGGTACTCGCCGCATTGACCACACTGCCTCGCCCCGCCGACTGCAGGATCGTGCGTACCTCCGCCCGCAGACAGTACATTGCGCCGGCCATGTTGGCCGCGCCATCCAGGCGGCCAAAGTGCGCGACGGCTCGCCCGATCCAGGCGTCAACGGCGGGACGGTTGGTCATGTCGAGGGGCGTTGTGAGGATGGTGGATCTCTCTGGTTTGGTGGTGGTGGTGGTGGTGGTGGTTTGCTGGGCATTGGCAGTCAAATTGGAGACGGCATTCTGTAAAAGCGGACCTCGGAGATGTCAGCCAGAGATAGACGCGCGCCGTGGGCGTGGAGCTACTTGGCGACTGCGAGACCATTGCCTGAGAGGCCGGTTATGGCGTAGACTTTGTTTTGGGGGGTCAATTCGGTTCCCTTTGTTTTGGTTTGGAAAACCCGGTTGAATGAGGTTGAGATAGTAGATTGGGTCGCACTGAGGGCTACGGGGGCTTGGTTGTTTGATGTGGATCTCCGAGGAGAGGGATGTATGTAGTATATAGACCGGGTATATATGGGTAAAGTCGAGTGAAGCATGCTGCCATGTGCCCCGCATCGTCCATTTAGCCTTTTTGCCGTGGTTGTTGAACTGCGTGTACTATGAATAAATGCGGCCGGCATGAAGGGGTTGTTTACTACTAAGTGGTGGTGCTGAATGGAGTGCCTGTACTGCGAGTGGTATCTGGGCCATGTGTTGATTGGGTTGCGTCTACAGCTTATCAACCTCCCTCCCCATCAAACAAATCAACTGGAACCTACACCTACAGCAACACATCCGTAACTACACTCTCTGCAAGAGAGAAACGATCAACACTGAATCTCCTGTCCTCCCTTGACCGAGAACCTCACCTCAGCCCCCGCACTCCTCCCCTCCCTCACAAACTCACACCAAACCACCGTCCCATCCCCATCCCACCCAAAACTCACCTTCCCACCTCCTCTCACCCTCACCCCCTTTACCTGCCCTCCACCCCACGCCCTCGGGATCGCCGGTCCCAGCACCACCTCCTGCGGCCCCTTTTGCGTCCCCTCCAAAGTCTCATAGCTCCGATCCCCATCCCTCACCAACATCTCCAACACCGCACCGACCACCCCGAAGTTCGCGTCCGCCTGAAACGGCGTACTACCGCCGTACAGACTCAGCCCGTTTCCCGCGAAATTCTCCTGCACCGCGAGCGTCAGCTCGGCGTAGGCGTTGGCGGTCTCATTCAGTCCCGCCCAGCACGCGCTGCGCCAGACCTTGGCCCACCCCGTGTTTTGGTCCTCGGTGCCGTTGCCGCGGGAGTAGAGGGTGGTGGCGACGGCGTCTGTGACGGTCCGATTGGTGGCGTAGACACTGGAGATGGAGGAGCCGGGGTACCAGCCGTACAGGTTGGAGAGGTGGCGGTGGGTGTCGTTGCGGGTGTCGAGATCGAGTTTCCATTCTTGGATTTGCGACCAACTGCCGATGAGCAGGCCGGGGGAGAGGCGAGGGAGGGCTTTGTGGATCTTTGTGAAGAGGGTGGCGTCGGTGGCAGTGGGTTTCGAGGGTGGAGTGGTCAGGAGATGGGTGAAGAGCTCGGCGAGGAGTTGCTGGTAATGGGTGCAGCCGAATGTCTGGTTGGTTGTCAGGTTTATTTATTGGTTGGGAGCGGGGAAAAGAGGGCTTGTGGGCGATACTAGGGAAGGGAACTCACGGTAGGGCCATGTTCGGGCGAGTTGCATGGATTAACGACCAAGGTGCCGTCATGGAAGTATTCGTCTTCAACAAGCTGCGAGAGCCAGAACTCCGCTACCCCCTTAAGGATCGGATAGCCTGTGTCTTGGTACCAGGCTTCGTCCTGGCTGTAATCGAAGTGGTCCCAGACGTGGTGGGCGAGCCAGGCATTGGAGACGGGGTAGTTTGCCCATTGCGCGTCGTTCTTCATGCTGGAGATATGACAGAAGTTGGTTAGCCTCTATAAGTGAAGGATTGACAATTGTTTTTCTTTTTGAACGGGATAGAGGCAAAACCCACGCTGTATGTCCGAATGTGTTCATCTCGTCATGGGTCACCCAACCCTCGCTTGTCCCGTAGAGCAGCTCCGCCGTCTCTGCTCCCCGCGGCATCCACGTCTCCGTGACATATCGCCATAACGGCTCAGTCAGATCTCCAAGCCCCGTCTGCTCAACCGCCCAGTGCGCCATCTGGAGGTTGATATTGGCATGGTAGTCTCCGCTCCACGCCGGAGAGTAGGATTCCGTCCACAGACCCTGCAGATTGGGTGGAAGGCTTCCCGGCCGCGACGAGGAGATGAATAGGTATCGGCCATAGTCAAACAGAAGGTTCTCGATAAAAGGATCTCCGGGTAGAGTATACGAGTTGATCAACTCCGTGGTAGGCTTGCTGGAGGAATTGTTTGTGTCTGGAAGGGAGAGTTCGAATGCGCCTGAGATCACTTGAAAGTCTTTGAGGTGTGCCGATTTCAGTTTCGAAAACGACTTCTTGGCTGCGCCGACAGCCGTCTGAAGCACCTCTTCGTAGGGGTCCTCTCCCCGGAATGAAAAGCCAGCGGCAGCGTTGCCCTTGGACGCATCGTAGTTGGTCCCTGCCGCGAAGACGAGGAATACTTCACGTTGCCCCTCGGGGACGGTGACCGTGGCGTTGAGCTGTGAACAAAGATCGCTCGAGGTCCTCAGTCCCGGCACAACTACACTCGCTCGGGCATTGTAAATCATGCCGATGGTAGGCTCGGTGACGCCGTACAGACTAATGCTGCTCCCTTGGCAGGTGACGTTGGGGGTCGGCGACGAAAGTTGATTCTCCAGCCCGAAGGTGATCGCCGGGAGGGATCGATTGGATGCTAGTCGATAAACACAGACTTGATCCGGATACGAACAGAATGCCTCCCTGCGTGTTGTCAGTCAGTCCAGGGATACGGAAGTGCAAGTGCTTGCTGTTACCGCGACAGTGGTATGATGACACTTGCCTTGTGATATCGACATTCCGCGTCTTGAACTGATCCTGATAAACACCCGATGCCAAGTCAAGGCTTCGCCGGTAGCTTGACACAGCTCCTAAATCCCCCAAGTCAACGGTCAGGTTTGCCAACACCTGATAAGAGCCATAATCCGGAAAGTCTCCATATAACGCGGTCACATTGCCGGTTCCGTTCTGAAAGATCCAGTCTCGAATTCCAGGCAAAGCATCGGCCTTGGAGACATTAGGATTGCCACCAGAATATGCCTTGAATCGGACTCCAATCAGCGTTATGCCCATACACAATGTTTCCTATATCTATCAGACAGGACAGAATAACGCACTGGATTCTCGAAAGGACCTCCGCGCCACAAGGAGTCCACATTCAGGTTGACAATCTCCTTGCCGGGCAGGCCTATGGGCATCGCTTTCAAGAAGTCAGCATCCAGATCAATACCAAATACTGGCAAAAGTACCCCCAAGCCGGCCATTGCCTAAAGGAAAGGCCGTGGTGATGATACTGCTGTAATTTCCCGGTGAATCAGACCATAGAGATTTGGCTGCCACCAGAGGCAGCATCAAGACACCAAAAGCCACTAGTGATCGCATTGTGAGCTGCCGCAGAAGTCTCGACTTGAGCACTAATTCAAATGGAAAAGAGGGAACGGTCGATTCATATGGCATCCAATTCAGCCGGTGATGCGTCGACATCCTCATCATCCTGTCGCATTTGCGGGGATCGGACCATTTGATCCTGCGGGAAAACTAGATTACATGCAGGTTGCAGCATAAGACCGAGAGGGGTCCAGTCGTATTATTGGAGGAGTTATCGGCCAGTGATGAGTTGGTGTGCAGATCGGCGCAGTTTGGCGCGGTGCTAAACTGGTTAACCTGCTTGCTTTTTACCGGATTTTAGCGAGACTCCGCAGTTGCAATTTGCGGGCGATCACGCTCGAAGACTGAGGCTGGTCACAATGGTGGATTGTACTGTGGTGCTAATAATGCTATTGTATGCTGCCGGTAACTACAGCCGACTCCCTGCTGCAGTCGCATTGGCCTTCTTCCACATCTCAATCCGGCGTTCGTGGCCTGCGTTGAACAAATTTACCCAGGACTGTTCAAACGGAGGCAGTCTCCGCCCCGGTTCGCCCTCCTTTGGCTCGCCCGCCAGCTCTCGGAGTTGCTCAAAATATTCCTCGAATTCGGGATTCACCATCAAAAAGCCCGGTCCATCGCCCTTCTTAGCGATCCGATCCTGCTCCCACTTCTGTCGCTCTTCGTGAGGCGGTAGCTGAGCCTTGCCTGCCAGCACCCGTGCTGCGGCCACAGCTTGCCATTCAAAAATCTTAAAGGTCAATCCAGCGCCAACCTATTGCTGTCAGCAGAATCCAACAGATCAGGTAGACACACGTACTCCACCAATGAACATCAACGTTGGATCTTGTCGATGGAAGACATGAAGATACACATCAGGAATACGATTGTTTCTCATCGGAATGTCGGGCAGGAACGGCAAGGTCCAGGTAAAGCCCGTGCCAAAGATGATATAATCGACGTCTGAGACCGAGGTTCCGTCCTCGAAGTAAAGAGTTCGCTCTCCATTCTCGCAGGCAACCCGCGCGATCGGTGGCCGACGCTCAATCTGAGGATGCTTGAATGCTTCGTCTCCAAAGTAAGGGTTGTATTTACCGCGGACCACAGCGTAGATAGGTGATTGGGCCGAGCCAATCAAGCTAACAGCAGTGTCTGCCGCAGACACCGAAGCTCCAACAGTGACTACTTTCTGTATACCATCATCAGCAATGCTCCGTTTGGTGGCAACAGGTTGCTCACCTTGCCACGATATCTTTCCGGGCCCCGATATTGTTTCGTGTGTAAGACATGCTCGGGGTACTTTTCTACGAACTCCTTGAGGCCTGGAATGGCCGGTACGTAAGGCACCGCAAAATGTCCGGACGCGACGACTAGGGCGTCAAAAGATTCGCTCCACCAATAGTCCTGTTCTCCAGGTTTCCCCGCCCTCCGGAGAGTCAAGACCCATTGTTCAGAATGCGGGTCTTTCACGGCAGATTCGACGGTGGTGTTGTATTCAACAAGGTCTTGGTAGCCATTTCGATTGAGCAGATCTTCTACATATTGGCGAATCACCGCATGATGACGGAACGGCGTATCCGGCCCGTGAAGACCGATTGACCATTCTGAACGAACGACTGGGATAGGCTCCTGAGAATACCCCATAGTCGCGGCGTCCACATTGGTATGTAGGTTCGGATAGACGTGGGAGTCCGTGAAGCGATGTTGCGATGTCGCTGGTGTGTATTGCGGTAGATTGGCAGGAATCGGCAGCGGAGCATCAGCTATTCTTGCCGAAAGCTTCTCGACATCAAGAGGGACAGCTTTCTCCTCAGGCCGTGCCACCCTGTTGATGAGGTCAGTTTCTGCCGCAAACTGCAGATAGTTGCTCCCTGTGGCCCAGGGCTTAACTTTGAGCGTACCAGCATCCACCTGCCTTTTCCTGTCGCTCAAAGACACGGATACGGTCGAAAGCTTTCTCCTGCGCCAGAGCATCGACTGCAATGGCGCCAGCCGGTCCCGTGCCGATAATAGCAACGCTTTTCACTTGCGGCATTGCGATGTCTAGCCGTCGACTGTGGGCCACAAATATCTACACCGTGTGTTGGGCTCGAGTTGGAGGTAGTAAATACTAGTAGCACCTTCGGAAAAATCTAGAAGTTAATGCTCAGTCAAACGTTCAAAGCGTATGTGAATTGGCGCAAAACAAAAACAAAGGCTGTGAGCAATCATGGCGCCGAATTGCATCAGCATGGACCACTGATATAAGCGACAGTGACATCATGACATGACTGCCACATTTCTTATCAGAGCCCAGTCCTTTATGTTTGTTCCAGACTTACATTGTTCTCCGCTCAATTTCTGCTCTATTAGTGTCTCTGGTAATTGAAACCTACCCACGGTGGCGTCTATCGGGCAAAAAAGCAGTCAATCCCATTTTTCCTAACTTGTAGTCTGATTGGACGGTGCCTGATTGTGATCACGTGCGAGGTGCTGTGTCTGGCGGAAAGCAGTGTGATTGGATGGTAGCCGAACAACTCTCGGCCTTGTTCCGAGCAGGTGAAGCCGGCCATTGATCAATACTCCCAAGGGAGTTACGTCTGCCTTCTTGACATCGTACAGTTGCGATCAAATTCCCTTCAAGAAGGGGATAGGACATAGCGGAAAATACAGCAGCAATCAGAAAATTGATATTGGTTGGTGTGACAAGGGACTGTCAAGGCGCGGCGCGAAGGCGAGACAAAAAACGTCGAACAAGTGATCCGATTGTTTCCGGTATGCACGTTTCAGGTCGTCACTGAGTTTCAACCCTCGATAGGCGGGGGACGATGTTGAAGTGAGCAGTCGGCAAAGGTGACGTGACCGACTGTTGACAACATGCTGCGCCCAATGTGGTCTCATGGACCGAACCCTGAAGACTGATCGGTGAGGGGATTGCCATTCCCGGCAGTATTGATGAACGCTTCAACCTCAAGGCAGGTGACTCATGTATGAGCTTGGATTGATCAAATCCATGTGCTTTTAGCCGAGGATACTGGCTAACTGTACTTGCCTCGCGCGAGGCCGAGAAATGCCTCCGAGGGGACTCTTTGGCACGAACTGTGGCTCTATGTCGCTGACCAGATTATGCTCATCCAAACCATCAAGACGGGATGTTCTAACGATGTCGACAGCAAGGCTCGACTCATTGCGTAGTGATAGGCATTGAACCGATCATTGCGGCATGTTCCTGGCGCATTGGGAAGGATGATCGTTTCCTGTAACGACCAGGTACTCCTCACTTTAGGTTTCCAATGCCTTCTCCACCATCGCTCACAAATTGGACTTGATGCATTACCGGCCGTTTGACCCTGGATCGACCGACCTAAGAAAAGTTTAGGCGTTGGTCCCTGATCAAGAATCTCGTTGACATATGACAAGCCGGCTCCTCTGCAGGATTGGTGGTACAATGCGGTATCTTCTCCGGTCGTTTGATCACGGTTGAACGGTGTAGGTTGGACCCGTTGTGAACCTAATCTCATGTTGGTCACTAGCATGAAATGAAAGATTCTCCGTCTCATCTAGAAGATTTCCCTACGCGGTCGAAGATACACATACAAGGCCGATACTGCATAATGTGTGGTGAGGGCGTTGGACCCTCTAGCTCATACAATTGATGTTGGAATTCAGTCAGCTATGACGAGACGCAGATAGCTGAGGACAAGGAGATCAACGCTAGCATTGGTAGAACACTCTCAAGAGATTGCCATCCTGAACAAGTGGAGTTCATCGAGAATGCGGAGGGTAGTGGGAGGTGGAGAAGGTGGAGGGGGGCATTAGTGATGGAGTCAAGGCCGGGCGGAGGAAGGCTATCTCGTGCCTCAGGCAACGAGGCACCACGCGGGTGGGATCTCCACCTACTCTCCCTCCGCCTCCTCGTCTTCCGCTCTTCTTCCGCCTCAGGGCGAGATCCACTGCACATGTCTTCTTTTTGAGTCTTGACTACTCACCCACTGGAACGAAGACCCCGAGTGCGTCCTTCTTGAAGTGCCCATGGCACACCCTGCAGTGTGCTATTCTGGAGGCTGCTGAATTGATCTTCTTCGCCTAGCGTCTTGACCCACTACTTAACCAACTAGAGCACTATCCATCACTTTACCACCCTCTGTCTGAGATTCGTCCAAGACGTTATGGGAGGTAAACCACTGGCGGTTCATCCATCCCCGTTTGCTTCTTTGCAATCTCAAGGGTTCATGACACTTCAGTGGGATATGTGATTCCAGATCGAAGAGCCCTTCACCGATATCGACTGGGTCCTTCCTCCCACATCCTTGTTGTCCACGCCGATCCTCCCACTCGACCAGTGCAGTGATCTAGGTGGTAGGGACCCTGGAAAGGGACGACGCGTCGTGCAGGGCTCTGCATCTTCCGGTGCAAGGCAAAAGATCCATGGATGACTGAAAGAGTGATCTGGAGGATGTTGCGGACTGTTGCCATTGATTGGTCAGCGGGTATCTATCTCCGATTCGGAGCTCCACCGACAACCATTGCAAGCTCACTTTAAATCCAACGGCTGAGAGGAAGACTTTGGGTTGGCTCCTCTAGGCCGGCCAAATCCCGCATTTCCTGTTCGTCCCCCAACTCTATGTGATGAGCCTGTGCACCTTGGGCTTTCTCGGCAAAGCGTCTCGTCCTTCATTGGCCACCGGAGTGCGATAATGTCTGCGGTGGGCATACCCTGCTTCAATCCTTGCGTGCTTAGCACGAAACCTCGTTTTTGGGCCTTGCGACCTGTCACGTCATTCTAGCTTTGAACCCGCCGAACTGAAGCCGAACTCCACCACCGTCTCACCATAGTGGCAGTCGAATGGTCGTCAGGGTCCTGCCAGACTGTGACGACCTGCGACTTCGGCACATCGAAATCATTGTCCAGCTGCGGGTCAAGGCCCAACTTCTCAGGCTTTCCTTGATCCCGTCAGAATAATGTCGGCATGTACCTGGAGGAAATGTCGTAGCCAATTCCCGATTCTAGTTCTGGTTCATAGATGCCCTTTGCGGAAGAACTGCTTGTTGATCTTTCGCCTCCGAGACTGCATTGTGTTCCACCCAGATCTATAAAGGATGCATGAATTCCCCTTCAAATATGTCCTTTGCAATCAAGCTGCAGTGCTCTCTCAGTCGAATCCGGTATTTCTTCAATTCTTCCATCGTTCAATACTTTCGCTTTTACTTCATTTCTCCTTCGCTTCAAACAAGCAACAATCAAATAACATGAAGCTCCAGAACGTCGCTCCTCTGTGCCTTGTGGGCTGCGCCCTGGCCCTGCCCGCCAACGTCGATAAGAAGAGACAGGATCTCTCCGACCTGCCATTCCCTGTTCCATCCGGGTCTGTGCCATCTGGGCTTATTCCCTCTGGATTTCCACTTCCTTCCCAGGGCCCAGGTTCCGAGCTGCCCACCCTGACGGTCCCCCCAGCCTCTCCTGTCGGAAAACGCCAGGACTTGACGGATCTTTTGCCCTCAAGCATCCCTCTTCCTTCTGGATTGACGGACCTTCTGTCCCAGTTGGGGATCACCCTGCCTTCAGATATTCCTCTGAAGAAGCGCCAGGATTTGTCCAACCTTCTTCCCTCCGGTATCCCGGTCCCGTCCGGCGTGTCCAACATCCTCTCTGATCTGGGCATCACCCTCCCTTCGGACTTGCCGTTGAAGAAACGCCAGGAACTCGAATCCCTTCTGCCTTCTGGCACGCTCCCTTCTGGTCTTCCCATTCCCACTGGGGTGACTGATATCCTGTCTGATCTCGGAATCACTCTTCCCTCCGACCTGCCCATCAAGAAGCGGCAAGACCTGTCGGCAATCTTCCCATCGGGCATCCCTATTCCATCTGTGGCGACGGATATCTTGTCTGGTCTGGGCATCAATCTACCCTCGACCTTGCCCCTGCAAAAACGCCAGGACTTGGAGTCACTGATTCCCACTGGCATTCTGCCCTCTGGCCTACCGATCCCGACTGCAGTTTCCGGTGTCTTGTCTGACCTGGGTATCGCCAAGCGTGACGACAAGGCGCCTGAGGCCGTGCCCGCTGGTGTATTCTCTGCCACCAATGCCACCCAGCCCAGCAGCAGCAGCCTGCTCAAGCCAACCGGTGTCCCTCAGCAGCCTTCCAGCGGCGGTGTCGTCGAGCCCCTTGTCCACACCTCCAACTCTGTTGCAAACTCGACTGAGCCCGTCCGCAGCACCACGGCGCAGCCCTCTGGAGCCGCTGCGCAGCCCATCGTCACTCCTCTTGCCATTTTCCCGGGCTCCCCTGAGATCCCTGTTGCCTCCCCCAGCTCTTCGGCTTCGGTCCGCAGCGCTTTCCCTTTCCGTGCTTAGATAGGATGTCTCCTGAGTAGGAGGTATAGTCGCGCAACGGTATCACGATCTACAATGGCTGCAGTCCAAGGGTGATATCTTCTATGCTGGTTGTATGACTCGATATGTACGAATGGTATGGGTAGGCAGGTCCTAACTGGGCGGCGTTGTTCTTGTTTGTTGCTTTCGATGTTCATGGTTGGAGTATCCTTTTGCGGTTTTCTTCGCGGAGGAATTGGTTGCAATGTATCGAAACACAACTAACCTAGATAAATTTAGATAGTATTGGTTTTCAATGGTATTGCTGCGTTCTCTGATTGTTGGTGCCTCTTGGCTGCTGCCCGGCGTCAGCTGGGGAACATGCGACTCGTAGTGGAACAGGGGGTCTAGTAGCTGAATAGAATCCCTCCTTCGTGAACTTACGTATTATCACTGTGGATAATCAGGTAGTCAAATATGAATTGCCACTAGTAATTACCGTTGCCAGCAACTGTTCATAAATATTGACAACCATTGACTCTGAGTTTATGATCTACTTCAGGCGTAGTTGCTAACAAGTATACGTACTTCCTACTAGTGCTGTTGAAAATATAAATAACTGCTATAGTTTGTAATCCTTGTCGATCACAGTTGCCAACAGTCATTGGTAATTTTTCATTAGGTATTCCACTAGTTAAGAACTATTTTTGGACTTTCACAGACTTTCCGGGGACTCATACGCGGCTTCTTATAACTATTTACAACCTTCTCACGTCATCTTATAACGGGTTCCTACTAGTTGATGAAATACTGCTTCCCCCCCCCCCGCCTACCACCAAGCTTTTACTATGTAGCTTGAGCTGTACATATCATGACGAATTATTTGGACCAAATGTCTACACACAAGTACGAAGTTCCACGAGAGGTGGTAAAGGGCGGCAGAGCCGGAAAGGGTGCTTAGAAATCGACGCTGGGTAGTCCCTAGAATTGTATATTGAAGGTTCAGTTTCCTTGAATCCTTACGGCGCAGGTTAACTTAACCTCAACGAAAGGATAAGAGGTGCGGTACTCGGGATGATATTGTCAATTGACTCGGGCGCTGTCTGCATCAGATGAAGTCTAGGTTTGGGGGCTGAACATCTGTGTTTCATCCAGTATCTACGAGGATCAACAGCTGAACCAGGATGGAGTTTTCATCGTTGAATGGGAAGTTCATTCATTTCATTGCCACAGGCATAGCCGGTCAATCGGAGGATACATGATGGTTGGCGGCTGTGAAGCAGGATACAACAATTGGAGTCGGCTTGGTAGAGCGACATCCTCGACAAAAAGGTTCTGCTTCTTTCAGCATACATGACTTTCGTGGCAATTCTTTTCTCTCCAAAACATCCTCATCTTGTCATTGGAAGAGGTCTTCGAGCATCATCTTCTGGTATGATGGCTTGGTACATAGTGAAGACACACACACATAGTTCTTCCAAACCTCACTCTTTCATCTCAGTTCTCATCTCAAAGCTTCGACACAATCATCCCCCAATCAGGCCATTGGCCGAATTGGCTCTTTTGCCTTTGGGTTGTCTCCTGATGGGTTGCCTTTATCCGAACGCCTGCCGTAGAGGTTGTCTCCGTTGTCGAAACAGACAATGGTGTTTGCCGTAGAGGCTATCCGCCATGTGCGGGCCTCGATCACTTGATCTCGTTCACGCTGTGTTCAAGCTACACCACCAAAAACCCCTGTCCTTCCATTGTCTCCATCGAGACAATCCACCGCCGTCCCCCCTCTTCCACCTTCAAGACTGGGCCACCTGCTCCACCCGATCCTGCAACGTCATTGTAGCCTTCATCAGCCGCTCTACCTGGTTCGAGACAATATACCAGGCATCCTGATCGAAGACGGGCATCTCGCACGCAGCCTCAAGGATCCGGCTAACACTCGCGGCGATTCGCTCCATCTGCGCAATAGCGAAGAAGAAGTGCGTCTCGATCGGCACTTCATCTGCGTGTGGTGTCTGGCACCGACTAACGAATCCTGTCTGGTGCAAAGCCTGGTAGAACTGCCGGTATCGCTCGATGGTTGCACCACTCAGCTTGATGAGCTGCGCCATGTCGGACTGCTCGCCTAGACAGGTCTCGCACAGGCTGATCCCCTCGAGTAAGTGGGTGACGTATTGGATGTCGTCAGCCCGGAACTGCATTTCCGTCTGTGTGGGATAGGTCTGCGCGAGATGGTCGCGGAGTTTGTCGGCTTTGATGGGGAGGCAGACGCAAGACACGGGCTTGCCGCTGCAGAAGGCATCGAGGATGACCTTGGCATAGTTGGGAGGGTAGTCTGGTTCGTTTGAGTCGGTGGTGGGAGGGGTGTCTGGGTTTTGCAGGAGGGCCGTCTCCCACTTCTCGTCGTGGGTGGCTTTTGTAGAGGAGTCGGAGGAGAGGTATTTGGTTGTCAGAGGATGATGTTTGGTGGCTGTAGCCACGAGGGTCAGGTTTGGAAATCGGAGCTTTGCGAGCAAAGCCTTGAGAGTCTTGGGATTCATGTTGGAGGATTGAAGATTCGAGATAGAGAATGCGAGTTGTGAGGGTATGAGCTTGAGGATCAACTTGAGGGTTTGCTTTGATGTTGTAATTGAGCTTCTACTCAAGATCTGCTTGGTTTCATGAAGAGTTCAGGTAGTTGCAGAAGGGAGAGACTCAGAAATGAGAATGGAAGGGCGCAGGGGGGTAAACCCCCCCCCCCCAAGGTGAGTCAATCATGATGCTATACTGGCTGTTTCTTCCGAGTTGAAGCATCACAATGATGTCCATCTTGCCAAATTCTGCATTGGAACAGCCACATTCTTGCAATAAGTTTAGCCTTTTTATAGCGCTTGAGATTGTTTGTATCCATGGATCTAGAGGCAGAATTTTCGAAAATGCCCGTGTACATTAGGCAATGATTGTGAGTGAACTATATCCTCCATTTCTCTGACAGTATATGATCAAAGCGACACCGGTCTACAATCTCAGGGTATCAGCTTCTCCCTTTTGAAGCAATTGCCAAGACTTCACAGGTCGAGACCTCTTGATAGTGAAGAGCGAGATTCTCCAATTGTCCCAACGAGTGGTGGTTAGGAAACGAAATTAAACCAACATGCTGGAGAATCGCGACATTTAACTTTTCTCCGAGAGAATGCTGATGATCCCCAACCCTTGTGATCTAAGTTTTCATGGCTGAAATTTTAAGATGAGCGGCTAACTCGATCGATGCTGACGGAGCTGATATCAAGATTGCTTGAGGACCTGGACACTCGGATGCTAAATATAGGCCATGAGCTTGAGTGGCTGATTGCTTCCGGAGGCTGTCCTAAGGATTGAGTCATCTCTCAGGGGCTAAGTTACAGTACTTTGTGTGATACAATGTACTATGGACAGTCCAATGGGGGTAAAAAAGGGAAACTGAAGGTCAGACCCGATTGTGTTGAGGTGTTGAGGTGTTGAGGAAAAGGACAAGTGCATTGTTGAATTTCCTCCGAAGTCACTATTCAGAGAGCATACAGTACAGTATGATCTCATAGTCTCCTGGTGGAATCCACCTGGTGGAATGGCGGGGCCACAGGGCTGAGACTGAAGGGAAGACTGGGAAATGGGGGATGCTTGTCGTCCTGGACACGCGTCAACTGCTGCAAGTCAAATCTGATCTGCGGTCATTATTTTCTCCTCCGCCCCCGATTTCCTTCCCCTCTCCGTCACTCAATCATCCTGCAGCAACTCCCCTCTTCCTCTTCCTCTCCCTCTTTTTCTCCCTTCCTCCTCCGGTTATCTCCTACATTTTGATTTTCGCCTTCCTCTTCATCTAAAAATCTTCTATCTGTTCTTTGCGCAGCCTAGTTGCTTATAATCGAAGCTCTTTTTCCGCTCTCGCACCTGCCCAGCGCGCCCGCCCTCAGCAGACGTCACACCCCACGCAAGATTGGAAATTAGGCAGACGCTTTCCACCATTTTACTCCTCTTCTATAAGATTGCGAAGCTATTCCCACATTGAATTGGGACGGCGATCTGTTTATAATACCAACTTCGTCTATGTCCACTTCCTAGGGACTGTAATTTGTGTGGAATTCGGGTGTCATTGGGTCTGGATTGTCGCTCACGATGGCCGCAACGAATCCCCCCGCCCCTCTTCCGAATGGAACTCAGTCGGTCGGCCTCGCGACCGACTCAGCCTCTACCACCACGATCAACTCACCCTCTACCACGACCGTCAACTCCTCCTCTACCACTACTGTCAACACGTCTAATAGCCCAATTTTGACCGGGAAGCAAGAACATTGTCAGTACCCGTTGTGGCTCACCTGCAGAAATGACCGCTGACGGCTGCAGATCTCAAGCGCGAGCTCATTTCTCGACAAGTTCAGAGCGAAATTGCCGAACTGAACTCCCCAACAGCCTTACAGCGTTTTGGTGCTCCCTTCAAGTCGGAATTCGGTGAGGTTGCCCCAGTCGATTCGGAGCTTCCCATTCTACGATACATCTTCGTGCACCATGTGCGCAACTTCCCATTCCTGGATAAGGCCCGCGAGAAGGAATTTTGGCAAGATAAGCTCCAAGTGGTACGTGTGTTCTTCCAATGGATACGACATCAGCCCAAAGCACGGCGTTAATCGCAAAGTCATAGTTTCTCGAGTCATTCGCCAAGAAACATGTATCCTCGTCGGAGGATCGCCTGGAAGAGACGAAGCGCAGGAAGCTAGCGCGTAAATGCGAAAAGCTGGTGGAGCTCATGATGGTCTCTGGAATCCCCACTGCATCGGGTTACGAAGAACGCATCCAATTCTCCGAAATGGAGGTCGTGGATCGCGGTGCCAACGAAAAGGGCCTGTTGGTCAACATGCCTGAAGGGAATGCGATTCATGGCTGGGATGTTAATGTGGCTGCAGTACGGGTCACATCGGTCAGACGGACCGTGAGGTATCATCAACATGCAGTACGTTCAGGAGAACTCCTCGTTATAGCCACAACCATCATTAACCATTAGGGCTAGGAATTCATCATTCGGGTGCGCCGAGATGGACAGAAGGATACTTTTGTGGCCCGTCGATATGGCGATTTCGCTAGGATGCACAAACGCCTGCGCACAGAGTTTCCTGGGAAGCCCCTGCCTCCGCTGCCACGCAAGAACAAGGCTTCCTTGACATCCAGCATATTTGGCTCTGCAGACGATGAAGCCTCATCGATTTCGTCCGTCTCCACGCAAGACACGAGCGCAGTAGACGATAGCTATTCATCCCGGAATCTAGCCCCCGGAAACCACCATACTCGCTCATTGTCACGGTCTTCCATGCGGTCGCTGAGGTCGCCTAGAGCTTCCGGAGACTCCCCAAGAGAGACAGTGCTCTATCGAGAAGAGCAAAGAGTCTCTCTTCGGGCCTTTCTCCGGACTCTGCTCCAGAACAAACGGGTGGCGGAAACCAAAGCGCTCGAGGACTTTCTGACTACCAACCCCATTACTCTCAACGAAGAGGAGAAACTGGATATGCAGAAGCGCAAGGAGGTTGACGCTGTCCGAATTGAGGAGCAGAAGCGGTTCTATGAAATCGCCAGAGCGCGGGCGGCTGAGTTGGACGCCTACATGGAGAACTTCCGCCGAGATATCGTGGAGAGCAGTAAGCTGGACCTTCCATCCGTTGAAGCCATATGTGCTGACCAAGATCTGTGTCATAGATGGATTGACGAAGCTTTTCGCGGAGATCAAAGAGAAACCGACAGTAGAGGACTTGAGTCCTCAATACCAGAAATTCGCCGAATGGCTGCGAATAGAAGTTGCCGCCACGCTCTACCATCTATTCTTGGCTGAGGATAACTCTCCTGAATTGTTTGCACAAGCCAAGAGGATCCATTCTCTTGTCCCTTACAGTCTTCTGAAGAACGTAATCCGCATTGCGAACCCAGCGGCGGTGATGTCAGGAGTCCTGGACCTCTTCCTAGCTCAACCTTTCGGATCTCGATCACTCCTCCAACGCATATTTTCCATGACCTTGAATGATGGAATCAGAGCGTTTCAAAAGTCAATCGATGCGCTGGCCGCGACGATTGAAGATCCTGTCCTTTGTCAAAAGTTGAAGGCATTCACCAACGCTGATGAAGATTTGAAAAACGAGATTCGCGCCGAAGCCGTCGTTGAGGATGTTGATATCATTGTGGCAATTCTCAAGACAGAACTTCTGGCTCCTGAACTGACACCCGACCAGTTTGGCAAAGTATTCAACGCTTACGTCGCGTGGAACCAGGCTGTCGAGAGTATCGATGTGGAGATGCGGGAAGGCGCGCATTGGTTCGCCAACTTGAAGCAATTGCTCAAACTCTACACGCGCCAGCGGGATAAGACTATGATGCTTAGTATCGTAGAGGAGCCGGTCACCCTGCAGCTCTTCCGGGATCTTTTTACCATCTTCTACGAGCCACTCGTTAGGGTCTATAAGTCGGCGAATGTCTACAATAGTATCACTGACTTTGCACGCTTCGCGGATGATGCCATCGCCGTGATTGAAAAATGCCATCGCCAGGACGTATCTGCAGACCCCAACCAGACAGTCCAGTCCTTTATCGATCTTTGTGAGCGTCACCAAAGCAGCTTCTACAAGTTCGTGCACGAAGTGCACCTACACGACAATGGCCTTTTTGGATCCCTGATGGCATGGATAGAAGATATCCTCGAGTTCTTGCGCAAAGGCCCACGAGGTGGCAAACTGGACATGAATGCCTTACTCACAGGGGCGAAGGATGTGGGGCAGATCGACAAAGACAAGGCCTTGAACGAGATCAACGCACTGATCAAGTGGCATGCCGATCGGAAGCGATGGCATCTGAACAAGACTAGACAGAAGATGGCAGCCGAGGGAACCGGCAATGAGATCATCCCCGGTAGCACGACCTTCCGCAGCAGTGATTTTGGTTTGGATGAGGTATGTTGCTTCCTGCAGGTGTGGGGGTATAGGTGTGATGTGCTTCTGCTAACAAAATGTCATCTAGGCTGACCTTGAGGATCTCGCTATTTCCGACGAGGAGTCTGACGCGTCTGATGAGATGGATGATGAGGAAGATCTCGATCCTATCACGGCCGAGCGAAGACGTCGGATCAAGAAGCAAGACCAGCTGCGGCGAACGGCGGGCGAGCCTGTTAAGCCGGAGATCGAGGAGGTACTTAAACTATCCGAGTCATTTGGTGTTATGTTGCGACAAGTGCTTGCGGATTAGATGCAGTCCGTATTGTTGAGATACCCTAGAGTCTCTAGAACACTCATACGCAGACAGCGATTACTAGTATATAGTTTTTAGTTTTAATCATTGGCGACCAAGCATGGGTCCTATATACTACTAGATGGCACAACTGAGAAAATCCTTGCATGGACGAAGACTAGCTCCGAATATACTTGATTTCTATGAATCTAACTGCAACCCGCGAGGTTCTTCCGACTCGCGACCGTAAACTTGAATGCGATCAAGACTACGGCGTACTCCGAATCGGCGGTCGAAATAAGGTGGTGGCGGATCGGCGGATCAGTTTCTGTAGCTCAGTTTCCATGGCGACGATCATTGACCGGGCCACTCCACTCGACTTACACTGTACTGTACATATCGGTCGCAAGCAACTTCATGTCTGTATCTCATCGCCTGAGCCACGCATGCAGAAGTTAGTTATGGTTTCTCCGTCGCCTCGGAAGGGCGTTCGCCTCAAGGGGCTCTTTGCCGACGGAATGTGGCACTGCAATTGTCCTGACCGAAAGCCCGCGAACAAGTTTCAAGTAAAGAAACACGGTGATAACCATGGCAAATATTGTAAGTATGTCTATCTGGCTGGGTGGAAAGGTTGTTGCAGGGGGAGCGATAATAAAGCGCACGACTGATCCCGGGCTTGCCCCTCTTTCTGTTCTGCTTCGTCGCAGTCTACACATGTCAGAACCAGAAATGCGACTTCTTCCTCTGGGCCAGCGACGCCGAACTGCGCGAGAAAACCACCGTTCTCTCCAATTCTCGATCCGAACCCAACCCCTCCACGACGCCAACGCCGACTAAAAGACCCCGCGTGTTGAACGGCCTCCTCACCCCGCAGACCGAGCAGCGCATCCACCGCCACAGCCCCGCAACGGGCGGCGGCCTGCACAAGCAGCCGCAGCAGCAGCAGCAGCATTTTCGAACGATGTTCTCTAGAAGTGCCAAGGCGCGCATGATGTCCGAAGATCTCGATGAATTCGAATGGGACGACGACGTCGGCGCCGAAGTGGGCAAACTCCTGGACGTCAAACCCATCCGCCAACCCAGCTTCGGGCCTCGCGACGCTCCGGCTGCTCCCCGCGCTCACCAGCCATCTGTGACCTTGTCCTCGGCGAAGCGAAAGTGGTCGGATACCGAGGATAATCCCGAGCCACCCGGCAGCCATAATAGGAGTCCCCCGGCTGCTGGGCTTGCTAGGCTTACGCCCCGTGCTCATATCAATCGCGGTCCATCAACCACTGCCGCAGTACCGCCTCCCTCGTCTATGGACTTCTCCATGACGCCAAGCCCAACCCGGTTTCGAGATGCGATGGCGGGCGGAGGCGATACGCCGCTGGACTCGTCGCAGCTGGCTTCACAGGCTGTGCAGATCTTGGAAAGCTATGGTGTGGCACTACCGAAGCAGGTGCAGGATGAACTGACGGTTCTGCTTGATAAATATGATTTGAAGATGAAGGGGATTATCCGGGGACGCGATATCTCGCGCGTAGCGTTGAAGAAGAAAGATGAACAGATCGAAGAGCTGAAAGCGCAACTAGCGCAGCTGGAGGGTCGGAGGTGAGACGTCTTACTTCCCCCCTTGAGATATATGATACCATGTTTCGATGCATTTTGTTTTCTATGTGATATGTCCTCCATGCGTTCCTGCTTGTTGCTGCGCTGTTTCGCCGCGCGGGTCATAACTATGGTTCTTAGTCTGCTGTGCGGACGTTGACATGATTATTGTATCTAAAAACAACACAATAAGCAACTCCAGTGGATGCATTTACAAGCACAATAGGTCTATTGAGAACACTTCGATTTAATTTCATGACCCTCAGGCTGTGGCAGGGATCTCATCATGTGATTGAGACCATATAGATCTTATCCCAATCACGTGTTGATAAGCGGGCCTCCACAGTCTTGACTCCATGATTTGGAATGGAAAAAAAGTCACCCCTCAAGAGCCTCCAACTACGCTATTGCTCCACGGGATCAGCCTCAGGGGGGCTCATGTCAATGTCCAGTAGACCATCGAAGCGCGTCAAATCTGAGCACCTATCCACATCGACTCCGATGTCCAAGGAAACTGACTCCGAGACCAAGCCGGTTCGCAGCGACATCCCCGCTATGTTTCGGCCTCCGGTGAATCGCGCCATGCGCGTGCTGGACCGGTCCTTCTTCAAGCGCACGGTGCCATTGTCTGCTGCCACGATCTTCAAGACCTCGGATATTGCAACCGTGCGACAAGCACTGCACAAGAAGCGTGACTTGCTGGCGCTGCCCCGGATGGCGACCCTGCGGGATGTCCAGCAGGACGATGTCGTGCGGAAATGCTTGTTGCTGCGGGAGGAAATCAAGCATGACGGTCAGTTGCTTCAGACTGGTTCTTTCTGTAGTGGTGAACTAACAAAGGGGTCAGATACGGCGACCTGGTCCCCCACGGTCTCTGAATTGGTCGAGAAAGGCATGGTAAGCGTTGGACCTTATGATTTGACGATTGAGTATGATTACTGGACCTACGGTACGAATCTCTATCCTAGGTATATCGTCTATGAACTAATCTCTTCCAGCCGATATCATGGCGTCCATTCTTCCCGAGGAACTGTGCGACGAGATTCCTCAAGGATTCACCCAAGTGGGACACGTCTGTACGTTCCTTGCTCCCTCGTCATACTGTCTTGTTCTTCAACTGACCATGCCACCCGCACACGCCAGCCCACCTGAATCTCCGTGAACAATATCTCCCGTACAAAAACATTATCGCCGAGATCCTTCTGGACAAGAACCCCACGGTGAAGACGGTGATCCGCAAAACCGACGACGTTGGCTCGCACAGTCAATTCCGCACGTTTCCGTTCGAGCTCCTCGGCGGAGTGAACGACCTAAACGTCATTCAACACGAACAGAACTGCGAATTCCGATTCGACTACTCGCGGGTCTACTGGAACAGCCGACTGGAGACGGAGCACCGCCGGCTGGTGGACAAGTTCCGCCCCGGGGAGATGGTCTGCGACGTGATGGCGGGCGTGGGGCCGTTCGCCGTACCGGCGGGCAAGAAGAAGATCTTCGTCTGGGCCAACGATCTCAACCCGCACGGCTACGAGGTCATGCAGGACGCGATCAAGCGCAACAAGGTCGAGAAGTTCGTCACGCCGCACAACGAGGATGGCCGCGACTTCATCCGCTCCTCCGCCCGCCGCCTCCTCGAGGCACCGCTCACCGTGACCGTTGAACCCAAAGTCCGCCGCAGCCAGAAGGACAACGCCCCCCCGCCCGAGGTGTTTCACCGGCCGACTGTCTTCCACCACTACGTGATGAACCTGCCCGGGAACGCGATTGAGTTCTTAGATGCGTTTGTCGGGGTGTATGCGGGCGAGGAAGGGCGGTTCGCGCCACACACGGAGCAGAAGCTGCCGATGGTGCATGTGTACTGCTTCTCGGGCCATTCCGAGGATGAGCATGATGACCACGTGGATATCTGCCAGCGTATCTCGGAGAGGATCGGGTTCGAGATCACGACGGAGGACCGTGTGGGGGGGTCGGGGCGGCAGGAGTTGGAGCTGGCTATTCACAACGTACGGTTGGTCAGTCCGAATAAGCAGATGTTCTGCGCGAGTTTCCGGCTGCCGGAGGAGGTGGCTTTCAAGAAGGTTTAGTCGGGAGGATGTTTTTATGGGGTGGTGGTTTTACTATTGTAGTATATTGCATAGCCAAGTTACACATAAGGCGTTTGACTTAGTTAACTCCCGGGGTATGTCGAAAGAAGTTGTTAGTTGGTAGATTAGCAGTAACTAATAGAAATGATACCCTACATCTTTCTTTCAGTATCTCTCTCTTGTGATCATTCAGAACGTATATGTGCCCAAAAACAAGTAACAGACGTGAAAAAAAGAAGAGGATCCAGAGCACTACAGGAAATAAGTTAACTTCAGTTACATGTGATAGAACAGAGCCAGTAGTCTCCGTACCTCACCGCCCAACCTCCATCCCTCACCGCCCGCCCCCGCTCTCCGCCCATTGCATTGTCCCCCAAAGCTCCCGCAAAGTCGAAACAAACTCGGCACGCCGCCAATCTCCAGCCTCTCCGATCCGCGCAACTTGCAACAAAGCCAACCATTGGACTTACTGGCTCAACCTCATCTCACCTACTACAATCACATCCATCTACAGCAGCTCTCCCTACCAAACCCAAACTTCCCCGCACACACTAAACCTAACCCCTCCCCCTCGACGAATCCAACACCGTCAAAATGAGCGTCAAACTCCCCCCCGCCACGCACCGCCAGCGCGCCCTCCCGCAGGGCGAACTCGAGGCTGCCTCCACGCTGCGTCTCGGCGCGGATCAGAATACCCATACGCTGTCGTTGTCCGAGGCGCGGTTGGTTATTAATAAGGTTCTGGAGAATAAGAGGCGGGGTGGGAAGAAGTATGAGGAGCCGGAGTGAGTTTTCCTTTTTCTCTTTGAGAAGGGGGTGGTTCGGGATGAGGTTGGGAAGGTTGTTGTGCTGTGAGGTAGTGAAGATGGGGTGGTGCATGAGGGCTTTATGATGGTGTGCTGTTAGGGGGTTATGAGGTTATGGTGTTGAGGGATTCGCAGGGTATGAAGCTAACGTCTGGAACTATTAAGGAACCTAACCAAGACTTTGGATTACCTGGAGGTGTTTGCGCGGTTCAAGGATGAGGAGAATATCAAGGCGGTGGAGCGGTTGTTGAATTCGCATACGGAGTTGGAGATGTTTGAGAGGTCGCAGCTTGGTATGTTCTCCTCTCTGGTTCAATTTTTCTTTTCTGGGTCGTAGTTTGGGGCAGTTCCCCCTCTCTTTCCCTCTCTATCAACAGACCGCAAACAAGAGAAGAAAAACTGTGGTCGATACTTGGGGATGTCAGTAAAGGCAGCAAAGCTAACATCCCATCCTTGTCTCATCCAGGAAGTCTCTGCTGCGATAATGCGGAGGAAGCTAAATCGCTCATCCCGAGTCTGCAGCATAAGATTTCGGACGGAGACTTGCAGGAGCTTCTGGATGAGTTGACCAAGTTGCGGAATTTCACGGAGTGAAAGATCTCTCGTGAAATCTGCTCTGGTGGGAGGGTGGCTTGAAAATTGGGGAATCTCTAGCATGGAGTTTGGGAGTTTGTCTTTATGTCGTTGATGTATCAGCTGCAGGGGGGCATGTCGTCATGGCATAGTACTGTGTAGACACTTTGCACATGTAGACATAATACACAGGAGTGGTCTTATGACTATGACAAATTATTGATACGCACTAACTACACAACTCACCGTAAGCAATCGCATCTCTCGGAAAGTCAAACAAATCACCGGAGATGACACCAAGCCAATAGGAGGCGTAATATAGCCGGGTCAAGCTCATGGCTCTTGTTTATCTAGGTTCTAACATGGATCATCGGGACGAGGCACTGAAACTTGGGGCACCCGGCCGGCAGAAGTCCTGCTCCAAACTCCAGGTCAACTCGGACGAGAAATTGAGTCATCCGCGTGGGTTATTAACATATTAAGTAATGAGAACTGTAGCCGGGGTCTGGGTCGCAACTCCGGGGAGAAGGACTAACGGAACTACCTAGTAGACTTCTAGCTAAGTACCGCTTCGATGGTCTGATTCCTGCCCCAGCTGCCAGCAAAGACACGACGACCGTGCGAGATGTCCCTGCTCTAGGATTATCGTCAGCCACCAGAGTCTGTGCAGTGCCAGTGTGTACAGGCATGCACAAGTACTCCTCCGTGTTAGACTTTTGAGAAATAGGGAAGGAGATTTGTACGGTGTAAGTTGATGGTGGTTAGTGACTGTACTAAAGTCTAGGTTGATTTCGGACACCTCTCCTCCGGGGGTCTTCAGTTTCCATTATTAAGGATATTAGAGACTGGCGGCAGAGCTGCCCAAGGCTCTGGACGGTCACCAATCAGGGTTGTGCCTTAGTTGATCAATTGGAATACCTTACTCACCAGTACTAGGTTAACTACTAGGTAGGTATGCTTTGGGTTCTCGTACAATAATTGCAGTTATTGCACTTGCAGCGCAGTACAACCAAATGAAAGGCTGTGGGGAAAAGCAAAGCCGCGGCCGCTGCAGGGCCGATCCCCCGTTGCCGGTCGGTCGAATCTATCGATCTATCCCTCTTTGAGACAAATCTACCTGGTCTGATTGGTTTCCGAATAGCGTTATCGGGATGATGTGATTGGAGGCTCTGCTGAGTAATGCAGCTGGCTCGACAGGCGCACCAGTCACCGTCTCGCCTCGTCTTCCCCGGCTTGTTCTCCGTCCCAATCCCATCTCAGTAAACTGGCAGCATTTCTATTCCGAAGTACGTGCTCAAAGAGGGAATGCTTAAGTTAGTGTCAGGGGGGTGGAAGATCTGGGCAATGGCCTTGCACTTTGCCTTACAGTGATCTCCATAATATAATACTTGATTCCCGACCGGACCAGTTACTGTTCAATTGTTCAGTTTCAATGTAATCATCATCCAAAAAAGCATCATGGATTCCAGTACGTAATACCAAGTCCCCCTCGGTTGCCCCCCCAGACTGCCAGACCCAATCACGCTTTCCCGGCTTATCGCCTCTAACAGTGGAAGGGCGCAGGGACTGGCGGCGGAGCAACTTCTGTTACGTGTGGGAAATGCTCTCTCCTCGCTGATCGATCGCTTCATCCGGAGATTCTCTTATTGATCCTGATGACTACATCCAGTCATGACAAGTATAATATCCCATTGATGGATGGATGATGGGGGGGAGAGAGAAAAGAAGGAGGCGAGATTCCAGAAAGATCACCTCTCTCCTCTCTACTTCGTTCAACTCTTCTGCGCTCCATTATTCTCCGACCATAAAAAAGACGAAAGAAGAAAAGAAAACAGGAAGAGTGAACCCGGATTCCTGGTGGAGGCAAGAATATAGTTATATACTATTCAAGTTTCGAGGAGATCCCAAACAGGAAGAGTGGGAGGAGCAGTGCTGATTATCTCTGAATTGATTATCGATCATCCTCGTCATTCAATTTCAATTTACCTGTTCAGTCTTTTCTATTCAGATCGGATCGATTGTTCTTCCTCGTGCCTTCCTAATTGGGTTGCTCCGGTTCCGCTCTCTCTTTCTCTCTCTCACTCTCTCTTCCTCAAGGCTCTCTTCCTCCCTTTCTGCGTTTCTCTCTGTCTCCCTCCAACCTCTTTCTTTTTATCCCATTCTCTATACTACTCTATCTCTCTCCTCGCAGTCCTCAACACTCTCTCGTGCGTGATTGTCCACTAGCATCAGTTATCTGGTGATATCCTCTTGATAAGCTTCTCCGCTGCGGTTCGTACTTGGCCCCCCCGTCAAGCCTTTGGCAGCTATTGGTCGGTGCGTCGACTATCGCCCGCCGCCCTCCTCCCCCCAAAGAGAAGGAATACCGATTCCCTCCACTCATCTCTCACCACTACACTGTCAATTTACTATCACCACCACCACCACGGCGTCCCCATTCCCCCCAGATAATCCCCTCACTGGGGAACAAGACGTCGATACAGGGACTCCGACTGCATCACGAGTCAGTCCTTCCTCAGATTGTTCCTCCGTGCCTGAAATTGCGGAGCCCTGTGACGGCGGACGTTCCGGGTCGCCCCGGTGCTATTAACGTGACTCAGTCGCTATCGTGCACTATTATCATTTGTATTCCCATTATTACTGCCTATCTTCGAAATCACCATTCGTGAGATTGGCACACGATCTATCGCCTATCTCTCCACCTCCTACTGCTACTTCTTCTTCCCTGTCACTTGTTCCCCGTATTCCTCCGGACCCTATCTCCGTGGCCCGGCCTATCGCGCCCTATCTACTACTGGCGCTCGACCTGTCAATTCCTGCCTTTCTGAATGGCTGCTGTTATCACCCTGCAGTCGTCCTCGACGACTGGCCCAGCAGGCCCTTCATCATCTTCTTTCCAACAGTCCCCCACATCTGACCACCAACTCCTTCGTCCCCGGCTTCAGCAGGCCTCTCAGATCCAACAACCACCCACCCCCCAGACCGGTTGTGTATCTACGCCACAATCTCCTGTATCTTCCGTGGGAACGCTCCCTCGTGTCACCGCGCTAGGTCGGGATGGGTCGAGTTGTGACGCTTGCGTGCGCAGAAAAAGCCGATGTGCTATGAACGAAATGGTCAACAAGTGCTATTCGTGTGACTTTCATCGGCAGGATTGCACCTTCACACTGGCGGTGGCCGGTCGTCCTGGCACGGCGGAGCTGCAGTCGAAGAAGCGAAAATTGGACGAGACCGAATTCGAGGGATTGGGATCGCCTAAGAGGTATGATTTCACCGGGCACGGCCGATCTCGGACGTACCTCGAGATATAGTAAGACTTCCAGCTAATCGAAATCCCCGCCGCCAGATTATCTGCCCTTCCCTCAGTGCTGGCCAAATCCGATCCTGTCCGCCCACCTTTGAACCACGCCCTCCCTCATCCACAACCCAACCATCACTTGCTCACTGCCTCCTCGTCGTTCTGGCAACATTCCACCCAGCATATCGGCCTTACCACTGACTTAGAGCCCGCCCTCCTTGAGTTCTTGCCCTTGGATCAGAATCAAGAAGGGTCCGTGGCTACCTCACGTGTGCGGAAGTTTAGTGACGACGGCACCTTCATGCGGGTGGTCAGCACTCGATCGCCCGCGGACTCGCCGCACACTGCTACCTTAGATGTCATTGAGAGCCTGGTCGCTCCCTATGGCTCCACTTTAGTGGACAAGTTCTTCGAACATGTCCATCCTACCTTTCCCGTCCTGCTGGAAGACAGCTTCCGCCAGTCCTATCGGGCTCGGAGTGGCTTGACGCCACTCCTCCTCTCTGCTGTCTATGTCCTCGCCCTCAAGTTCGTCGATGCTGGCCCCGCGTCTCAGACCATCCGGCGTCCAGATGCCGGTCGCTTGGAGAGCACTGCCATGCGACTCTTGGTGGACTCGCTGCCCTATGCCTCGATCTCAACTATCCAGGCCGGACTGCTTCTCATGCAAAGATCGAACTTGGCTACTGCTGCGTTGACTGCGCAGCTGGTTACTGCCGGCTTTGAGCTTGGCTTGCACCAGGACTGCTCTAATTGGCGAATGAACACATGGGAGAAAGGACTCCGCAAACGCTTGGCATGGGCCCTTTACATGCAGGATAAGTGGTCCGCGCTTGTGCATGGCCGGCCGTCTCACATCTTTGCCTCCAATTGGATGGTCCAAGACTTGGTGGAGCAGGATTTCACCGACGCTTTCGCTGCCTCAGCACAACATGACGAGGCGCCCGTAGGCCACGGCCCGCTCTCTTTTTGTCATATGGTGGCTTTGACCACCATCCTCTCCGATATCCTGGACCGCTTTTACACTCTGCAAGCGATTGAGGAGTTCAAGGCGGCAGGCAATCATCGGACTCGTACGATTCTGGAACGTGCCAAGCCGGCTCAGATCCGGTTAAAAGAATGGTTTGCTCGTCTTCCCACGGAGCTCAAGATGGACTCGGGCGGAGACTTGTTCGAGGTTGTCACCGAAGACAACGCTCGTAATGGTGCCCTGCATCTCGCCTACTTCGCGACCGAGATCACCTTACACCGCTGCATTGTGCGGTCGCTGGCGCCGGAGAATGCCGACGCCTACCTGTCCCACATCTGTCGCTCCGCCGCCAAGACGCGGTTGATCTCCGCTATGGATTTTGTCAACCGACTTCGGCCTTCCCACCTGCGGTCTTTCTGGCCGGCTGCGGCACGGACCAACTTTGCTCTGATCGGCTCATTCGGGGTGCTCCTTCGCATTACCGCCCCCACGAAGGAAGAAGCCGAATTCTACCGATTGCGACTGTGCGAATACCGCTGGACGCTGAGCGTCAGCAAGAAGGATGCCGAATTCCTGGAATTTGCGCTGGAAAGTCTGGACAATGCCACCAATCTCGATCATTACGTGCCTGAAAAACCCGGCATCGACGAACTGATGACTAGTGCTGCCAAACCCACGACAATTAATCCTCCTCGCATGGGTGCCCTGGAGGACTCTATCCTGGAGGCTCCGGACAGTGGCTTGGGTGGCACCTCCTCAGTCATTTCGGGACTGGCTTCTCCTGCAACCTCGATCAGCGACGAGAGCGTGCCCGACTCCTCTATCCCACCGCTCTAGTCATTTATCACCTTTTTCTTTTCACCTCTTTCTGCTTTCTGTTTCCCTTTAAAAGGAGGATTGCGATACCCCGGGATCGACCAGCAGTGTTTCTGTGTCTACTCCTTTCAACTTTCTGTGATGCCCTGATGAATTTGTATGTCTCTCTTGGTCTTGGCGTTTGATTGTCTTTATCCAGTCCGGATGGAGGGGTCTCGCTTTTATGATACCTCTTTGTTTGTGTTTCTTCGTGTCTCGATGACGACTTTGCTGCTGTTTACGACCTAATCCCCTAGATGGGCGGGTGAATGATACTGGATCATCCCACTCCGCGTTATATGTGTATATATGGTTTCTTTCTCCCTATATGATGGATATGGGATGAGCATAGACTGGATGGCAATCGGATAGATATTGTGAATTGATTTGAAACTTAATTGATAACTGTTTTGTTCCAGCCGTGTTGAGCGGTTGAAAAGCCCTTTCTGGACACCTGGCTTTCCTTCAGGGCATCTGAGGGAAATCTTAGGAGTAGTACTTCAGGAACCAAAAAAGAACGACAAATCACCGCCCCCATTCCCGCTCCCAAAAGCAAAATCCTCGAGTATGGTCGGATCCACCAGATTCGCCAGGATCTCGGCACGGGTATCGGGTTGCGAGTCCTGGTTGAAAAGGGAGAAAAAGAAGTCGTTGTCTATCCCTCCACCACTGCTTCCAGGGTGGGCTGCGGTAGTTGCTGTAGTGCTAGGGGGAGTAGGCGGGGGAGGAAGAGGTGCTGTCATGCTGGCGGGGTGGCTGTTTGCCGGTTGCAGATTGCCTAGGGGGAAGGTTGTTGTTGGTGAAAGAGATGAAGGATTCAGAGGGTGATGATTCGTGGTGGGGATCTGGGAGGAGGGTAACAGGGAAGGGTGGTGGGTGGTACGCCGTCGAGCGACACAGGCTCGTGCAACTTCGAGGACCTCGCGGATCATCTCGGCGCAGCGGCGGGCGACAACGATGTTGTTCATGGACTCGAAAATATCGAGGCTCTTTTCGACGTCGGCGAGGAGGTCTTCGTCGCGGATGGTGGGGTAGCCGGAGAGGACGAGGTGGAGGAGGATCATGGCGCCGTAGAGAGCGTAGGAGGTGTTATACCACCTTGAGATTGGGTCAGTGAGTTGGTCTTCGTGGATGATGGGTTCAAGGCTTGACAGGGTGCTGTGACTGACCAGGTGCGAATGTAGATTCTGTGGATGAAGGATTCGTACTGCATTTGTATGCTGGTTCTTGCGGCGTCGACACAGGCGTGCAGGTGCTGGAGGATGTTGGAGGAGGATTCGTTGTTGGTGGTTGAGGCGGCGAGGAATGGCTTGTGGATGAGAATGCGCGTGTTATAGTATCCTAAGCCCGGGTTTGGTAGATTAGCTCCGCGTCAGGGAGGTGGATCAGGCATGATTGGACAGGCGTACTTAGTTTCAAGACCAGTTTCTGTTTGAAGGCCCATTCGGTATCATTAAGCGAGGCGGCGTCGATATCTAAGAAGTACGGCAGAGTAGATTTCCATGCTAGTAGATGACGATCAAGGTCCATGGCAATCTGCGACATTTCATCCAGTGGGCGCTTGGAAGAGTGGTAGAGAAGGTGTGATGCCTCGGACATGATTTGTGCCAGGGCTACCATCGCCGGGATCATGGCTACATGATTGTCTTCCGCGTCAGGGTCAAGTAAGTAACCGGGAGTGGCCTGCGCATTTGTGAGAAATACGCTCTTGGGTACATGGTCAAAAATCCTTTCTATACCTTCAGAGCGGGCAATGGAACTCGATAGTACTGCAGGTCTTTCATGCTGTCTAAGCGACCAGAGGAACAGCACATCTCACTGCAGTCCTTAGTCATCTGGAGACCTCGAGAGTAATATCGGACTTACATTTCATGCGAGTAAATACACCTAAGTCTGTCAGTTGAGCGCTGTGAAATAGATAATCAAGAACTTACCACCATGTCCGAATGCCTTCTTTGCGAACGCCTGGAGCCAGGGACGCCATCCCTGACGCCAGGCCAATGGCTACAGCTGTTCGGACCGCCATCCCACTATACATGAAGCAGCTATGCGGTCTGAGAGCGTTTTGGCAAAACACGCTCTAAGCACGACAGTCAGCGTCAAGTCAAACTTTTGATAAGAGAATCACAAGTTACCAAGAGTAGAAGCGCCTGCACTCCTTCCAGACTGCAGCTCTCGAACAAGTCACCCAGAGCCCTCTTCGCTCGACCAAAGTAGAAATCCGCAAAATCTAGAGCGGACGGTCTGCTCATACTTCCGACCCTCCTGGGCTCGGGGTTATAATCGCAATAATGGTCGAGAAGAGCAGTCTCATGCGGACTGGCATTAATGGCACCCAGGGCTACCACAGCAAAGTATAAGCCAGCGAATTTCGAGGATCCACGATGTAAGCTAGCTCGTCTAGATGCCAAAAAGGACTCCTTCTCGCAACGCTGCATGAATGCGCCCTTGCACAGCATAGGGTGTATATAATGCTTGTTGCAGAAGTAGCTGGCGATGAACATTTTCTCAATCTCTATCTGAGCCTCTTCTGGGAGATTCTCAATGAGTGGTATGATCTCGTGTTCATGGCTTGTTTCTGAACCCTCTGATTAGCCTGTGGCAGTCTGATTCATCGGTCTGGTCTTCACCACTCACCTGTCAATCCTTTAGCTGTGTTCCGTGAGCTCACCACAATCTCGGGGGTTTCGGTCCTGTCAATGACACATTGGGCGTCGCTTTGCAAAGGAGAGTGGCTTGGGTATTTTGGGTTATACAGTAGATTCACAATCGAGAGCTGTGTTGCGTTGGCCGCAGGCTGCGTATCGTCCGACTCTTTGTTTGATGTTGAACCAGGAGTCGATTGGATGAGACCATTAGCATCAGTTCGGGGCGCGCTGAAAGCCGTGGGGCCTTGCTCAACTGGAGCGCCATTATGACCATTGTCAGGGACAGTCAACCCTCTGTTCTCTGCCTGAGTGCGGGCTCGTGCGTACAAGTTGCCGAGGAAGGCTAGGTTAGAAGAGTTGCCATAGAATTCCGTGCCATTGGTATGGATGTTTACACCACTCAATCCGTCTTTTGAAGCAGAGTCGCAGACCAGCTCGGGCGTGGCGGCTGCAAGATACACTTGTGAGTAAGAAGTCCAGCGGAACCGACTGGCTGAAGGGTACACTCACCAGTAACTATTTTATCATCACGCTTAGGGGTGATGTCACTAGGTGAACTAGTGTTCATGGTGTTGGCACTTCGAGAGGCGCGGGACTCCCGCCTACCGAGCTGACTTGGGGAGTCGACATGCTGATAGCTTTCGAAACGGCTCTGGTCCACATCTGGCCACGGTGATGGTCTTGTTTGCTGCCTTGATTTGGGGTTAATCATGAACTCAAGCGAGATGGAGGAATAACCTCGGAAAAATACCTTTGAGCCTCGTGAGCCTGTGCTTGGCGTCTCGTTGCCAACTTGAAAGAGGTCTTATATGGAGCTGCAGGTCTGTAGGAACAGTCGAGTGAATGATCTGGAGGTAGATAAATGAATTATGATGCTCACAGATAGAGGGTCTTGGTTTGAATGGAGTTTTCGTACAAGCACAATAAGAGCAAGGCTGGGCCTGATCACACTACATGGAGAGAGATAGTGGTAAGTGACAGAGTGAGGAGGCCGATATACAGAACAGACAGCGACATACTTTGGTCTTGCGGACGCGGCAAGTTTCACACGCCCGGGAGGCGCGCGGCGGGCGTCGGCGAGAAGCGCGCAGTTTGGCCGTCATCCGCCCCGTTCTTTCACTTTCCCTTCCACCTTCCATTGCTGAACCACTTTCCATTTGCTGGGCTACTAGTAGGCCCCAATGCCTTTTGTATGTTTTGGAGTGTTGTTGTGGGTGATGATGATGATGATGATGATGATGATGATGGAGATGATAATGATGATGATGATACCATTGGGTTCTTCAACTAATCAGACTGGTGCTCCACACTCCAGATGCGCTAGATAGGATTGGCTCTTGACGCTTAAATTCACCACCGGCCGCGGACCGCAGTCAACTACCCGAGATTTCCGAGCAATGAACGGAGAAGATCCACAAGTGTCCTAACGAGCTCGATTTCGTGGGGTTTGTCTGGGGCTTGCGGTCAGCTCAATGGTCTTTCTTTTTGCCTCTTGAGATTCGGAAATAGAAGCCATGAGATTTTTCCCCATCCCCCTCCACGGCTACGAATCTGCGGATATACGTCCTACAGAAATTGAATCACTTTCCCCTTTCAGTTGGATTCGATTTAGCATAACATTTTACTCACTCATGATATAGTAGCCTTTGGAAAACAGCAACTAAGCTCCTGATTGTGCCGGAGGTTGAGGTATGCTTCCCATCAGGTTGACCAAATATTTGGATTCACCATCAACTCCTTGCGAACTTTGGTCGCTGAAAACAATAACGGTTGCAACCATTGGTGTACAAGGCAACACCTTCTGAGATGCTGCCATGTCCCACGGAATCGATGTTAGTCGATCTCCCGCAAGTCTCAAGCTCGAATGCCCCCTCCCGCCCCTGAGCTTCCAAGTCTAGATGCAATTATTGTACATATAGATAAGATTTATCCTTATCCAGGTGCACTCTTCTCGACGATACGGATCCAGACCTTCTGATTTGCGCGCCTCAAGTAAGCCGGATGAAGAAACCTGTTGCTCCGTGCGGTAATCTACAACAGCTCGAGAATTAGAAGATCCATATTCAAGCTACCATCTGTTGTTAGCATATTTATGAACAAGCAATACGAGAATTCTCAACAGAACATACGATTCATTGTACTGCGGTGGTCTACCAATGGACGAGTCTACTAAATCAGATACCGATTGACCCATCTGCATGGACCCCATAACCTGACCCATATCGGCCGGGGGGAGGCCGAGGCACAAACACCGCCGCTGGCGTTGAACTCGACTATCGTAATCCGGCCGGTATCTAGTCCTTGCTCATTTATAGTAAACCACGCGTAACCCGGCCCATCGGCAAACACCAGTATCCCTTGCCGGGTCATGGAAAGTGCGTTAAAATCGGCAGGAAGAATATCAGAGAGTGTAGAACAAGACACGGACTCGGAGATATGGCAGCGAGGGACCTTGCCCACGTCTAATCCTTAAGGGGTGCACTCCAGGGTCAGCATTTACACCAGGTAGATATAGTACTGTGAATGAGTCTTCCGGTCGACTGGTGAACGTTAGTTTTTGGGAAAGGTTGTATTACGAGCATGGATGGATTTTGATTCGTCAACCACCAACGTTGTTCTACTGCTATAGATATCATACTGTACAATGACAGCATCGCGGTTCGTGCTCCTGCAGTCGAAACAAGTTCAAGGTGTTGCAAATAGGGATGCCTATCGCTCCATTTCTTCGGCTTTTTGGACGTCATCATTTATTTCGCCTTCCCACCTGAGATCTCTGTCTTTCCTACAAGATGACGCGATCTTTAAAGCCCCCGGGATCGATGATTGCAGCAAAGAACTATACTTTTCCAGAATGACGACATACAAGGGCCTGGTCTGTGCGTGAGTCCCACGAGTGTGGGCTACCCTGGTGGAGATAGCTTGTGTGAAGCTTCGCAGCGCCGGGGGTCATGAATTTAGGGCCGACGAGATGGATCACAGAGCCATTTATTCTTCACGGTAAAGATATCCCTGACCCATCAAATCTGAAGCTTCTTTCGAGGCATTGCAAGAAGACCATCAAGCAGTTGAGGACAAGGAGATATACGGGGGAGTTGCTGGTGGCTGCTCCTGGGCCATAGTCCCCAATTCCGTCGGAAGCATTACTATACACCATCCCCACCTCCGCATCATCCTTTCCGCTCCGACGGATCTCGCAGATGGCAATCGCAATCTATAGAGTCGATGCGAGTACCGACACAAACATCAAGCTTTGAGTGGTGTCTTGTTTCTCGAGTAGCTTGTGCCCCGCATTGTTGCGGGCGCGCGGGGATATTCTGAGGTCCTGGCCTGGGGCGAGATCGTAAAATGGCCTTTAACCGAGGCGAATCTCAAGACAGACGAAGTATACATAAGAGAAAGCTCACCACATCTCCATGGAGCTCAAATCACAATTTCCCTCTCCTTCATTTTTCCACCGGCTAGGCCACAATTGGATCGACAATGTCTGAGCAGCAATCCAACGGAGTCCCGAAGGTCGAGGGACTGAGCGAGAGAAGTCGGGCCAAATGGGCGGCCGCCTCGACACCCGAGGAAATCGCCGCCAACCTGCCTCCGATGCTCGACCTGACCATCGAAAACATCACGGAAAATGTCATGAAGATCAACTCCATGTGCGACAATCCGCGCCTTCGATACCTTATCCTGAAGCTGGTTCAAGCGGCGCATGACTACGTGCGGGAGGTTGGCCTGCAATTCGATGAATGGGAGCAAGCCTGGCAATACCTGACCAAGGTGAGTGCTGTCTTCCAGATGATAAGCTCGTCTTTCTACTAAGCAAGGGGGCTTCTTGCAGGTCGGTCAAATCTCCACCGACGTCCGTCACGAATTCGTGCTTCTCTCGGATATTCTGGGCATCTCCGCGTTGGTTGACGCCATCTCTTATCCGGCCGTGCCCGGCGCCACTGAATCTTCTGTGCTCGGCCCTTTCCACGACGAGGAGGCGCATTCTTTCCAGTATGGGGAATCGATCTTCACGGAGGGGACCCCCGGGGAGCCCACGATCGTGCGCGGTTGGATCAAGGATACGGAGGGCAACACGGTGCCGAAGGCATTGATAGATGTCTGGGAAACGGACGGCAATGGAGTCTACGATCTGGAGTATGACGGTAGCGCCGATCCCAACTGTCGTGGGAAGATCCTTTCGGACGAGAAGGGTCATTTCCTTTTCGTTTGCGTCAAGCCTGTGGCCTACCCAATCTCCAACGACGGCCCCGTCGGCGAGTTGCTGCGGAAGCTCAAGCGCCATTGGTTCCGCCCAGCGCATATGGTAAGAAGACCATTTTGTATAAGTTACTGAGGTTTATGGGGACAGAGGCTAAAAAATGCGATAGCATTTTATGATCGAGCACCCGGCATACACCAAGCTGATTACTGCCCTGTACTCCCGAGACAGCAACTTTGTGGAGAGCGACACTGTCTTTGGAGTCAAAAAGAGCTTGATCGTGGATTACAAGTGGTGTGAGGACCTTGAATTGGCGAAGGAACATAATGTGAAGCCTATTGTCAAGGCAATTGATGGCAAGGAATCAACGGGGTTCTGGCTTTTGGAACAGGACTTTGTTCTAGTCAAGAAGAGTCCCCCTCCGCCTCGTAAGACGGAGGATTAAGCTAGGTGAAGCATAGAGCATGCTGATCTGCTTTGTGGACATATGAGAGGCGCAATTAAATGTCCCTTCTGGTGTACTTCATCCCATCCTTCGTAAATTCTACTACTGGAGTAGCCCTTCTTCAGTGACTTAGAACTTGCCTTCATCGGCAAAAGTCATCGCTTTCGAATTCCATTAATCGATCATACCGATTCACGTGTCACCTTTTACTATGTAGACAAATTTACGAGTAGTTCAATCCGAGAGCCCATTATCGGCCGTTTGCCGAACTGCAGGGCTTCTATAATTCTAGCTACTAGGCTGGTCACTCGCCAAAACTTCAAGTCATGCTCCAAGACTCAAAGGCGAAAGAAAACCATCTTCCACCTAAGTCATGTGAACATGTTAATCTTTGTGATTCTCTGCTTTCTACTCTTGCTCTCCAACACAAACATGATCGACAGGCCCAACATTTCCAGGCGACAATTTCCAAGCTCCCAGCCAACTCGACGCAACCCGTCGGGAAGCCCTTCAACTACCTATTGTACTCCGGTTGGTTTGACCTGACTGTCATAGACCTACCCCAATCCTTGAGCTCAGCCGAGTTCGGGGATTATCCCGAGGTCTTCATCCGATGGATTGATCCCGCCAGGATAGTACACGACTGGACCGATAGCCGGCATCCGACGGATGAAGTGATTAAGAGCCAGTAATTCCAGACACAAGGCGGTTATACACGGCAATTTAAGTACTAGTAGGCAAATCCGGGGTGACTTCAAGCTGGATTGGATGGTGTCATGTGGATGACATGCAGACAATGGGGTTGACTGGTCTGAGGTAAACACCAGGTAGAGATTAGGTATAATAAGTTGGGATTGACTTGCTTGGTTTCGTTCCCATTGAAGCTGATGCTGTACTACACCTAAACAAAGCCTTATCTTATCTGCCTGGTCCTTACCTGCCATCTATACAAGCTTGACCAATCAGCTTTTCGCTTTGTTTATCGTCGATGTATCGACAACGACTACTATTTACTCGACCTTATGCCCCCAACCTGCGATTATCCGCTTCAACTACATCCTACCTGAGATTTAGCTCCATTCGATTCAATTCGACCATGGGAAGATCAAGTCAAGAATGGGACCAGGACGCCCTGCGGGCCAACTTTTGTCACGCCCTCTCCGAGATGTACAAGACCGAAGTCCCTCTGTACGGCGACCTGGTTAACCTCGTTCATCAAGTCGACACAGACATTCTCTCAACTCAAGCCAACCAACCCTTGAATCCGGACGAGATTCTCCCCTCTCGCCATCGCGTTGAACGCCACGGGGCCATCCGCCTAGGTACCGCCCAAGAACTAACCACCATTCGCCGTCTCTTTTCTATCCTGGGCATGTATCCAGTCGGCTACTACGACCTCACCCTCGCTGGGTTCCCCATGCACGCCACGGCCTTCCGCCCAACCAGTCCGGAAGCTCTATCCAAGCACCCCTTCCGCGTCTTCACCACCGTCCTTCGCATGGACCTCCTCACGCCACGCACACGTCTCCTCGCCCAACGTGCACTTTCCCAACGCTCTATCTTCACAGACCGCCTTCGAGCCCTCATTGAACTCGTAGAAAACCGACAACAGCAGTCACTCACTTCTGACCAGGGTCAAGAGCTCATAACCGAAGCCCTCAAGACCTTCCGTTGGCACTCCCACGCCACCGTCACATTAGACGAGTACCAGACCCTCAAAGCCGAGCACCCCCTGATCGCAGACATCGTCTCCTTCCCCAGCTGCCACATCAATCATCTCACCCCGCGGACGCTCGATATTGATGCCGTGCAGTCGCGGATGCGAGAGGTGGGGATGCCGGCCAAGGAGCGCATCGAGGGCCCGCCGCCACGTAAATGTCCGATCCTGCTACGACAGACGAGCTTCAAGGCTCGCGAGGAGACGGTCTTCTTCAGGACCGAGGAGGGAGATTATGTGAAGGGATCGCACACGGCGCGATTCGGGGAGGTCGAGCAGCGGGGGTTTGCGCTCACGCGCAAGGGGCGGAAGCTGTACGACGAGATCCTGGCGAGGGTGAATGCTGAGGTTGCGGAGAGGGGCCTGGGGGCCGGGGATGCGGAGTATGAGAGCGTTCTCGAAAGACATTTTAAGGAGTTTCCGGATGAGGTGACTGAGTTGCGGGCGCAGCAGTTGGCGTATTTCCTCTATCGTGTCACTCCGCAGGGAGAGAGTAAAGCCCCCAACGGGGTGAAGAGGGCGAGTTTGTCTCAACTACTGCGAGAAGGGGCTATGGAGTATGAACCCATCACGTATGAGGACTTCCTGCCTCTCTCTGCTGGGGGTATCTTCAACTCCAATTTGGGAAATACATCCCAGGCGAAACGCTTGATTATGGAGGCCGAGCCGGATCTAGATGGGTTTCACCGGATGTTGGGGGTGCCTACCACGGATGAGTTCAGCTTGTATGAGGGGATGCAGAATGATAGCTTGGATCAGTGTCGGATGCAATTGGGCCTGGAGGAGATTGCGGAGTGAGGTTGTTTCAGTCAGTCCGTGCTGAAGCTTAGCCGTTTAGTGGAGGACAAATACAGTCAGCATAAACCATCCATTGAAGGTGTTGTCTCTTTCCTCTTTGGGTAGTCAATCATTTTGTGCCACTCCCTCTTGCCGACGATGAAAGGATCTGCAAAGCCAGTCATCTTCAGATAATCCTGTCAGTTGCATCTCCATCGTTCGATAACCACATCCTTACCCCAACACCCGCGTTGTCCCCGAATGTCCTCCGAGCATCGTTACTCTCTATCCTTCTCTATCTTTACTCCTCTCAGTATTGATACCAACCAGTTCCACCATGCATGTCTCCTGGCTTCTTTCCAGCCTCGCTACAGTAGCCATCGCTCAAGAAGAGGATCTCAACCTGTTTGACTATGGGCGGCGAGGTCCTCTCATCGGTACCTCTTTCGGCATCCCCGGCGTGAACGAAACCTTTGACTACATCGTCATCGGAGGCGGCACAGCGGGTTTGACTATTGCGAGCCGACTTGCCCAGAGCGACCGATTTAGCGTCGCCGTTATTGAAGCGGGTGGTTTCTACGAGATTGACAATGGCAACCAGTCTGTCGTACCAGCGTACACCAAACCCGGGGCAACCTCCCAGACTTACAATCCTCTGAACGATTGGGGCTTCAAGACGCAGCCACAGCAAGCCCTGAATGGCCAGGTATTCCACTATACTCAGGGCAAGGGTCTCGGAGGCAACTCGGCCAAGAACAGTATGAATTACAACCGTCCTACTAATGAGAGCATGAGAAGATGGGCGGAGGAGGTGGGTGACGAGAGCTATACCTTCGATCGCATGCTGCCGTACTACAAGAAGTCCGTTCGGTATACTCCGCCAGACCCAGCCATTTGGGGTGACTACAACAGTCTGCAGAATACAGACGCCTTCGACAACGGCGGTCCTCTTGAGGTATCTTCGGGCAATTGGGTCGAACCGATGGGACTCACTATGCACCAAGTGCTAACTGAAAGGTTTGGGCTTGCTGTGACGGAGTTCAACAGTGGTAGCTTGATCGGCTCCGGGTTCATGAGCCAAACTGTCAACCCGAGAAACGCCCACCGGTCGTCGTCAGAGTCCAGCTTTCTGCAGCAGGCGCTTGATAGCGGGAGCAAGCTCACGGTCTACAAGAGTACGCTCGCTCAGAAGATACTGTTCAATGGCGGGAACAAGGCCGCTTCCGAAGTCCTCGTCACGACGGCAGGCACGTTTGGCACCCCGAATCTGGACTTCTTCCTTAGAGCTCGCGAAGAGATTATAGTATCAGCCGGCGCCATACAGTCTCCGCAATTGCTAATGGTCTCTGGCATTGGTGAGTGTGAACAGCTCTCGAGATATGGGATTCCTTGCATTAGCCACCTGCCCGGCGTTGGGAAGAATCTGCAGGACCATCCTGCCGTGATCACAGCTTGTCGAGCCAATGTCTCCAAAATCCCTTCTTTAATCTCTAATGAGGCCTCACGAGCACTGCACGTACGGCAATATCTCGAGAAGGCTCAAGGGCCATTGACAAGTGCCAGCACCGGGTACTTTGGCTTCGAGAAGCTACCGCAGCAGTATCGTGCCGAGCTGTCTAACGAGACTCTCGTTGGTCTTGCAGACTTCCCTATGGACTGGCCCGAGATTGAATGGACAGGTCCAAGCCTGAGCGAAAGTGATGAGATTCACGAACAGTCTATCGCCTTGGGATCGATAGTTCAAGCTACCTTCTCCCGCGGTTTGGTCTCCCTGGCCAGCCCAGACATGTCCACGCCGCCCATTATCGACCCACAGTGGCTAGCCGACCCAAGGGATATGCATACCTCAATTCAAGCATTCAGGCGGAGTCGTGAGGTGTGGGCACACCTGGCTGAGCTTGGAGTCATTGATCTTGGGGAGTGCTTTCCCGGATCCGAGGTGAAGACGGATAATCAGATTCGCGAGTTCCTAAGACAGCATGCGTCGGCGATCAATCATGGCTCGTGCACTTGTAAGATGGGATCGAAGAGCGATGTTATGGCAGTCATCGACAGTGCTGCTCAAGTGTATGGAGTTCAGCGTCTGCGAGTTGTCGATGCCAGCAGCTTCCCCTTCCTGCCGCCGGGCCATCCGCAGTCGACCGTCTACGCTCTAGCTGAGAAGATTGCGGACGCTATACTGCGAGCGAAGGATAGCTCCAGCTCACAGTGAGCAGGCTGGCTCGAGTTTGGGCCTATGTATATAAATCGTTATTATAAGAAATCTTCCTGCGTCAACTTCCATCACCAGTGCGTAAGTGTTGCCTATAGATCAGCCCTGATACAGAGATATCAGACGTTGAGAGGAAACGGTGCGTGGCCTTCTCCATTTCCTCTCAAGCATCCTTCGATTCCTTCTGGGATTCTCTGAAGGAATCCTAAAAGAGGAAAGACAAAATCAGAAAGAAAAAGATAGCACATGAACATTCGAAAGCCCAAATATGAAGTACAATACAAATGCACCGCCTGGTGCATGGAAACAGACACTCACTTTCTATCTGTACATATATCCGTGCGTAACTGCTAGGTGCAGCCACCATGACCATCCCAACCCATCATATTCTTCTGTCCCTCTCTTTCCTATCCAGCTACCCCTCCCCATTAAACAAGACTCGACCCAGTAGAAAACCCACTTGGTATTTTCGAAGTAAACAAAAAGAGCCCGTCCCCTCGTCTTTGACCAAGATTTTTGTCTAGGTGAGCTGGCTGTTTAAACAACCACCGCCCCCTCCTGCAACAACTCCTCCGCCGTCTTAATCTTCACATCCATCACCCGCAGCAGGGTATACTTGTGCTTGCTCTTGATGTGCTGCACGTGGCGCCGTCTCCGCTTCGTCTTCTCCTTGACGCGGAGGGGCTCGGCATCGACGCCCACAACGCGCACGCGACACTCATACAACCGCTCATCGACGTAGGGGCTGCCCTTGAGCGAGAAATCGCGCGACCCCAGCACCGAGGCGCGGTTGAACCGCAGCACATCGCCCGGCTTGACCTTGGGCATCAGGAAGGGGAGCCGGATCGAATCGCCCTGCGTCAGCAGGTACGGCCGGTCGTGCAGGTGCGAGACGATGTAGTGCGGCCGCTGCGAGGTGAGTTGCGGGAGTTGCGCCAGCAGCGATTGCGTGAGTTGCAGCGGCGAGGTGAAGGTTGGAGCCACGGGCTTTTTGAGGTCGATAGGACTGCTGCTGGTGGTGGTGGTTGTGGAGGTGGAGGTGGAGGTGGAGGTGGAGGTGGTGGTAGAGGTGGTGGAAGAAGAGGTTTGGACATGTGGCGTGGCGGTTAGTGGGGAGGTTGGGTGAGCGTTTTTTGGACTGGTTGATGTTGTTTTTGTCGTCGTCGACGCTGCTGCTGCGGTGCTGTGAAGACAGGCCCGGGCGACGGAGAAGCGGGCGCATTGCTGCTCGATGGGCAGGGCGAAGGCCCTGGCGAGGGCTGTGCGGGAGAACATGGTGATCTGGATAGGCTCAGTGCAAAGCAAAGTTCACCCCTGCTTGCGGTGGTCAATTGCCAGCTCGGATTACTCTGGATAGACAACTACCTTCTTTTTAGCAGGAGAGAGTGAGAGTGAGAGAAATTCCGGACGGGCAGACGATAAACTCGTGCCACGTGACTTATCGCCCGCACCGCCAAGCCTCTCCGAACTTTTTTGGGGAATCCTCCATCTTTTCTTCAGCTTGCTTGATCCTCCTTATCAACCCCGCCACTTTTTTGTCTGTTTCGTTCTTGTTGTTGTGTTGTGACTCTTTTTTTCAAATATGGTATGTTGCTGCTCGGCTTTTTTCTGTGAGGAGATGGATTTTGGCTAACGTTTCATTTTTTTCTCTTCACAATAACAGCCTCAGAACGAGTTCGTCGCACCTACATTTCCCGAGCAAGCCACCCGAAAGAAAAAAAATATTGACCATGGTGAAATAGGTATATCGAGCGCTGGCAGAAACAGCACGGTAAGCGTCTCGACCACGATGAGCGCATCCGCAAGAAGCAGGCCCGTGAGGGTCACAAGCAGTCCAAGGATGCCCAGAACCTGCGCGGTCTGAGGGCCAAGCTGTACCAGCAGCAGCGCCACAAGGAGAAGATCCAGATGCGCAAGCGCATCAAGGCCCAGGAGGAGAAGAACGTCAAGTCCTCCGCCCCCGAGGAGCCGTCCAAGACGCCCCTGCCCCAGTACCTGCTCGACCGCTCGCAGGCGACCAACGCCAAGGCCCTGTCCAGCGCCATCAAGGACAAGCGCAACGAGAAGGCCGCCAAGTTCGCCGTTCCCTTGCCCAAGGTCAAGGGTATCAGTGAGGAGGAGATGTTCAAGGTCGTCAACACCGGCAAGAAGACCCACAAGAAGTCCTGGAAGCGCATGATCACCAAGCCCACGTTTGTTGGTAATGACTTCACCCGTCGGCCTGTCAAGTACGAACGATTCATTCGGCCGATGGGTCTGCGTTACAAGAAGGCCAATGTCACGCAGTATGTTTTCTCTTTTTTTTTTCTTCAGTCTCGCCTCTACGGTTATTGGGAATCTTCTGGGGCCACTCTGGGTGTCGGACGCCACCTGATGTCATACACAACCTCTGGCGCCTCGTTGATGCATTTGTGCGAAGATCAATGCTAACCATCTATCTCCCTCTCAGCCCCGAACTGGGTGTTACCGTCCAGCTTCCCATCTTGTCCGTCAAGAAGAACCCCCAGAACCCGCTCTACACTCAATTGGGTGTCTTGACCAAGGGTACTGTGCTCGAAGTCAACGTTTCCGAACTGGGGCTTGTCACCACGTCAGGAAAGGTATGCTGCAGGCTGACTTTTCAAACCCTCAGAACCGTGGAGAAGCTTACACAAATGAATAGGTCGTTTGGGGTAAATACGCCCAGGTCACCAACAACCCTGATCTCGACGGCACCGTCAAGTAAGTCCAACCACCTAGGTACCTATTATCTCGATCTGGATCACTTGGCTAATATCACCTCCAGCGCCGTCCTCCTCAACTGAACCCTTGAAACCCTTTCACCTCCCCTGTCCAAACGACCATGACAAACGGCTCTTATCTCCGTCCACCCCGTTTTCCCTATCTCTGACACCGGTTCTTCCCTTTCTCCATGCGTTGGTTATTGCTGCTCGGATCATCGTGATTTGTATTCTGTCTCGAGCCAGTGGATATACTTTTCTTCACCCGTTCTCATCGGGGGGTGCGGCGTTTGTGGCGCGCAAAGTGTGCTTGCTCTTTTCTTTTTTCACATTCTTGACTTTCGACCCTTTTTTTTTCGTATCAAAAGAGATTCCCGTTCTGAGATCATCCTCTGTGATCTGATCTTCGTCCTAGGTAGACTAGCTAGCTATAAAATTATAAACAGATTATCATTTCAACGAAAAATGAATACTCCTCTCAGCATTAGGGATGGTGTATGATGTATGTATGGGGTAGAATCATATGGTATGGTGCTTCCGGGCCCGCGGGTTGCAAGTAACCTCGCCCGATCGTTCGCTATTTCTTCTCGAATCTCGTATATCCTCACCGCGTAGGGCTTTTCATTTTGATTCCTGGAGGTCAAGAACGACTCTTTCGGATGAAGATAGCCCGATGAATCAATGAATTCAAACTACTGTAGTCAGTTAGCACGAGAACTACAGTACGTACTACTTAGTAAGTCAAGCTATAGTACCGACTCGCATACCGTACCGACACGCGCCCCAGCCAGGTAGTCAGTCACTCCGCAGTGCAGGTCTAGTGTACGATATCTACCTTGACGTACCGCCATTCCCACCGTCGACTGAAACCCATTTCATCAATCTAGGCAGGCATAGCAACCTCTGAACGATGGTTTGTCAGACGATCCACCCCACAAATTCAGCTTAACAGGAAAAAGAAAGAAAGGTCCATATTCGTGGCTCGCACCATCAAAAACGAACCATCATACTATTCCAGATTTATCGCAGACAGAAACTATAGTAAAGAAGTACCATATCCAGACCTTGGTCACACACGCGCACATTCACGCGAGAAACTCCAGATACACCATGCTGTGTTTTTGCTGCGGGGTCATTTGCCGTAGCTTTCTCAAATGCATGCAACCAAACAAAGCCCCTTGTCCTCAAGAAAAAAAAAAACTAAATCAAATAGGGCTGAAGCGCGAGACACACAGAATGACAAGGTAAAGGAAATGGTGAGTCACTTCGAGCTTTGCGCCCAGAAGTTCGTTGCTATCCAATATAGGTGGCGGGTAAGAGGGAGGACAAGAAGGGAAGATGGTAAAAATGGGTAACGCCGGGATCGATCAGGATATCAAAGTGATGGTAATGTTTACCAAGAAGGAGGCTAAATCAAAAACATAGGGAAATTATGTGGGGTGAGCATGGATTGCGATCAAGGACCCTCTTCCAGGGCTGATTTGATCTTGGCAAAGAAGCCGGCCGGCCAGGCGGCGAGCTCTTCGTCCTTGGGTATGCCGCGGACGCGGCAGTGGTTGACCACGTTGACCAAGATGCGATTCAGCATATCTTGCGTGACGGGGACGGCGGCCTCGAGCTGCGCATCTGGGTACAGGAAGGGATCGCGCTGGCTGAGGAGCTCTTCGACGGTCGGGCGCAGGGTCTGGTCTCTTTGGAGGCACCCTTTCAATGTCCGAATAAGACCCGGGGGTACAGGAACGCCCCCGATCGCAAAGGAAGGGAACTCGATTTTCACATTGGGGTTGGGAATAGCCATGATCCGTTCGTAGTATTTGGCGATCTTGGCAAACGGGGGGTGGCCGTAGACCATTTTGTACAGGATGCATCCAAGACTCCAAACATCACTGGGTTTACCCAGCTTCATCATTTTCCCCACGCTTGCCGGCAAGCCGAGGGAGGCATTGGAGTCAATCAGAGCTTCGGGGGACATGTAATTTGGCGTCCCAACTTGCTGTTCACGATGCACGTTGACGGTGTTGTCCTGGATTGCGTTCGCAATACCAAAGTCGATGAGCTTCAATCTGCCCTGAACAAGCAAAAAGTTGGCGGGCTTCAGATCCGAGTGCACGACATTGTAGTCATGTACTGCTTGTACGCATTCGAGCATCTCCTTCCAGTAGTACCGGGTAAAATTGATATCGAACCGGGCATCTTCCGCGTTCAGTCGGTAGCTAAGCACTTTCTCGAGGTCGGATTCACCAATCTCCATCAGTACACTCAGAGTGTGCTTGTCCGAATTCAACTCCCAGTCAAAGAGGCGTACGACACGGTCCAGGTTCTCAAGCTTTTTGAGCAGATCGATCTCGCCTTTGTAACCAGCCAACGTCAGAGGATCAACATCTTCGAGATTAACTCTCTTCAGGGCAAAGATCTTGTAGTTTTCAGCCATTACACGATAGACACGAGAGCTTCCTCCCCGGCCAACGCAGTCGAGTCGGGTGAAATGCTTGTGGTTCACTGAAACTTGATTGCGTTTCTTGCGGGAATGGGACGCGGTAGCTGCCCCGCCAGTAGCTGTGGCAGTCTCGAGAACCGACATTTTCGGGGGCGGCGGTGCTGGTCTATGAGGGGTGTTGTTGCTTCGTATGGCGAGGATCTTCCTGTCTGCGGGCGTTTCCTCTTTCTCTTTTCTTTCTTCTTCATAAACCACCGGCTTGTCAAGCAAGTTGAAGCCTTGCGGTTTGACCCGCTTGAAGGTTGGTGGTGGTTCATTCTCCTGGTCACGATTGGAAGGTAACGTTGGCGGCGGTGGTACTTTGAATACCGGCTGGTCCTTGGCGCTGGACGGCTTCGATGACAGTCCTGTTGAAGAGCCCGGCGTGGACTTGGAGTGCGATCCAGACGACTTTGGAGAAGACGATCTGGAAAAGAGGCCGTCGCCAATAACGTCCCGGTCTCGGTTGCGGTCTCGATGTTCCTCGCTTCTCGGGGGGGGGCTCGGGTCGGCCCACGAGACTTTCGGTGAGGAGGATTTCGCTGTATTCTTGTAGTGGTAGTCGTCATTATCGTTATTCACATCGTAATCGGTTTCTCTAATCTCGTTTTCTTCGCTCTGTCGCCGTAATACGCCTCTCCGCGCGGGTCCGTTTAAGAAAGTACCGGTCAATCGCCCGACACGTTTGACGCGCAATGAGCTGTGCATGCCCATGTCTTCAACGTTCCGAGTGCGGAGCACGGATGCAGTGCCAATTCGTGGAGCATATTCGTCGTCGTAGCTTTTTTCCCCGGAGCGTGTCACGCTGCCATGCTCACGATCGTCGATGTAGCTCCGTTCGGCGGATCGCCTTTGAGACGGCGACAGGGATGCAGGCGACCGGGTGTTGCTGCGCGACGCATTGATGCGAACACTCCGTGTGCGTGGTGCGGGTGTGATAAAGTCATTCTTCGCGTCGTGCCGTTCGTGATGTTCTGCGACCTCGGTTTTTGCTAACGGCGAGCTTTCCCTCCGGCTGAGCGAGGCGGCGATCCGCACCACGCGGGGCGCAGGACTTCCGTTCGACTGTTCCAAGGGCGAAGTGGTGCGCGATCGCCTTTCCTGGCTTGAACCCGCCGAGCCCAGATTTTTGTTGCGGAGACGAGGCGACAGGTCGAGTCCGTCTTCGTCGAGCAAGGCCTTGACCGACGCGCTGAACTTGGGTTCAGGAACCTCTTCATCCGAGCTGTCACCAGCGGCATACTGGCCGGCAGACAAACTGTTACTTCGATATGCGAGCGAGTTGCGAACCTCCGGCGAGGCCCGCCTGGAACCCGAGCGAGACGTGGCGCGGGACATTTGACGTGAGGAAGTTTGGCGGTGCAGCCGGGTATCGTAAGCTGTTGCTGCTGCTGCTGCTGCTGTTGAGGAGGAATTGGGAGACGCCATTATGACAATTGAGGACAAGACAGCATAGACATGTCCACCAGAGAGCGTCCGGGCCTAGGCTCCTCCCAGAAGCACGAAAGACTGAAGTATCTGCTGCGAGGGGGGGTGTGGGTTAGTATGTCGAGGGGTCGAGATGGTTTGATTTGTTGTGTTTGGTGGAGATGGAAACATGGAACTTGCGCCGTAATGCGCGAGGCTGGGAGTCCATAAGTCACGTGGGGTTTACCCGTTGCCCCGGGCAATCGCTTGCCCAAATAACAGAGAGCTGCACTGCATGATGCGCCCCATATACAGTACTACATATGAGGATTGACGAGGGAGATGCGATGTACGAAAATACATAAGACATTCATCTCATTAGAGTTGCAGCTCATCTTGTGGCGTGGTTAATTTGGTGGAGAGGCGAACTACTACATTCAAGTAACTCCTGGTAGTACTTAATATATAAATTTCGCTCGGAACAATACAGGCCGCAAATCAACACTGCAGCCCATGCGCCGGCATTGCTGCACACACCAACACATGGTCTTGACTTCAGCTAAATGAGCAATTGAAGCTGTCTAATAGGATGCTTCATTCCTAGCCTCATCTGACTCAACACTTAGCATGCTATTATGCCGATGGCCTTGCATCATGCATTGTGGTGATTACACTGCTGCAACTGCAAACATAATATATTCCGTCAGCAACTTAGCGCAATCGCCCATGTCTCAGCCCCAACTTATGTTGAAAGTCAATCACACAACTTCCGGACACCATCTGCAATCAAAGTGATTCTATGAGCTGTCTGCCTATGCATCTGACCATTAAGAGCTATTAGGTGCTGATTGCAAGATTTGGCCTTGCTTGATACCCATAAGTTTCATGTCCTCCGGTTATCGAGAGGGCGCAGCTGCATCCCTATCATGAGCATGTTGTGGCTATATCACACCAACCTCTCAATCCAAAATTCATACTGGCATGCTACAGAGTTCGGAATCTTCCATTGGTACTATTGGTACAGTTGGTCAGGAAGGATTCGTTCTCATTCCGACAGTCTCAAGGTCAACTGCGTAGATAAGTCTGTCACGCCAATCCAAATGTATGATTGCAAGCGAGGTATATTGAAACAGCGATGAGCACCTTGCGCAATCCTAGTAGTATGTAGCTCTGAGTTCTTAAAAGCATCATTGAAGAGTCTCTTCCAAGGATAGTTAGTGGATGGCAGCGAAAGTTTGCCACAGAAAGAGGGACTGGCCACCGAGCAACTACCTGCCATGTCGAAAGAGCAACAGGCCCAATGCTGCTTTGAGGTATCTAGCAGTCACCCTTCATCGGGCAAGCTGTCTCCTCCCCCCTTGTTTCGCCTGTCACAAATAGGCTTGAAAGAACTCTGGGTTCGCCAAGTTGCCATGGTCAACGTCAGCCCAACGTGTTTCAAGAAGGCCGCCATTCAAGTCCCCTTCTGTGATAATTTTAGCAGTGGTAAATCAAGCAATCTGCCAAAATAGCGTCGTTTCGGAATACAAAGTCCTGATCGTCACTGCAAAAGCGCATGGCCATAACTTTGTGTGAAGGAGAACAGGCCGCGAATTCTCCCGCGCCTACCCACATGTGGCACACCTGCAAGCACCGATGTTAGAGATGTGACGTGTAGCTGCCAATCTTCCGATCAAGTGTAGACATCGAGCAGAGGACGTCGCCCCGTCCTAAATCGCTGGAGTGGATAAAAACTCCACTGATGCACAAATGCCCTATCTCTTGTTCCGCGACTTCGATCCGGTCAAATGTCGGAAGGAAGACCCACCCTCTGCTGATCTCCTGAGGTAAAACCATGGCTGCGAGGACGGTCGTCAGTGTACTCCGTAAGTAGAAGATATCAGGATTGAACGCCATTGATTGCGTATTCATTCTCGTAGGCAGCCGTAGCCGTGGTGATTTCTCCCGCTGCGACCAACAGCCCCTATTCGGCTGGATAGAGACCCGTAGCTGTTACGATTGTCTCGTGGCTCTTGACATAGGCTTCGCTTTAAACTTTGGAACTGCTAGGGCGAATAGTCTAAAATCTGTTGTTTGAAAAGGGCGGATGAACCGTGGGGAGCCAAGGCTAAGAATAAGAGGCAGAGTCAGTGATAGTCCAGCGAGGCTAAGGCCTATTTGAAACATGGCGACGTGAAAGTCCGAAGAAGAGAAAGTAAAAGTCTTAGGGGAGAGATAATCAGAGACTTAGCAGGCGAGCAGGCACAATTCGCCGGCTTTGGCCGTCCGGCGTGAACACCTGACTTGCACCTGATATTCTTGCTTGCTTTGTCGGAGTCTCTCCGGCTTCACGGACCACTCACCACAATCGACTACAGGTAGACTATTGCTACCACAGTAGTCTACTAGCAACAGCGTCCGTTCTACATTGGCTGAATATTCAGTTGCAGGTCTGTTCTCCAGGGGTAACCCGGTCGGATCTGGTCTGGTCAGTCAATAATGATTCAAATCAGGTAAACCTCCGAGGTTTGCCCAAAAACCCGGTCAACTCAAACTCGCTTGAACCTACCTTTCAACAAACACCTGACTCTGTCTGCCACTATTAGAGTTCTCCTAGTTCAGAACCACGCCTTGTGATCAGACTTCTACTATTGGTTCCAGAACTTGCACAATGGCTGTGGAAATGTGAATCTCTCATAGCTAGGTACGCCTTGACCCTCTGGCTATGATGGCGGTCCCAGGGGAAGGTGGGGAGGAGACGGGGGGCACCCAGACTTGTTGTTCTCTCCGGACTTGTGCTTCAACTAAAGGATCGGGTAAAGCGGGCAACCGGCACAGCTCAGGCCATTGAGGAGAGCCGGAGAGAAGGTCGGTGTGGAGACTGGAGCCTCCAAAAGAACGTACCACGGGTATAAGCACTCTGGGTCAGGAACGCCTGTTTGGGCAAAGATTACCCCCTGCTTCCTGGCTAGCATCGACAACACCATACTGATCATCGCCAGTCTAGCCCGGTGGCTTCACATTTTAGGTCTCACTCCAGATGCATGGCTTTGATGATCGGAATGGTTGGGTTGTATTCACTGGCAATTGCTCTTGGGCTGGCTTCAAGCTTGTGTTTGGTCGTGCACGCTAAGGACAGCCCCAGTTTGACTATGCATCCTCAGCTTTCTGTCCCTGACTAGGAACCCGACGCTAAAGCATCAACTAGTCCAGCACACTAAGGCACTAACACGCTAATGCTGCACCGGCCAGTGCCTCCACATTGTCCATACCAATGACACCACTCTGTCTGAATATGCACATCACAGAGGCGTCATGGTTCTGGCGGAGTGCCCTTTTCTTGCTGCTATGGGGCAGATTGTCCATGTGCGCGATATTGGTACGAACGCCTCCTCAGCAGACATTGTCTGGCTGTGCTCACTGAGCTAACAAGCCACTCCCAGCTTGTGAAAATCCTTGACGTGGTAGCAGCAGTCCTTCCGCCAGTCTGAGGGAAATTGAGGTACTATATTTGGGGGCATTGAGGACTCGAAGACCCTTATTGACCCCGACCATGTACCGGACCTCCCAATTACATTACTCAAGTTTATGTTCTAAGCTTGCTGAGTAGAGCATAGAGTTGAGATAAGATCGATGCTTGTGTTTTTTTGGATGGATTGCTGACGGTGCTACAGAGTGTACAGCGTTGCAGGCTGCAGTTGTACTAAATACTACCACATGCATGTTTGCTTGCTAGCTGCTTTTCAGTATTTTTCTTTTCCCACTTGACTCTGTTTCCCTATTCTGCTCAGCTGGAGATCACTTTCTGCATCTCGCCGGAGACAAAAAGTGTTGACCAGTCCACTTGCATCTGTCACAAAATCGTGCTGATGGGGCGATGGCTTACTCATCGCCCCTCCCTCCCCCCAAATGATTTTTCCTTCCGTCTTCACTTCTGCGCCTCTTCTTCTTATGTCCAAACACTAAAGTCTACTTGACTCAATTCTTTTTCCACACAAACAAAACTAAATAACTCAACACCAGGCTTGACTGGGGTAGTTTCATGTTTTGCCCTTTTCCGTGGAAACTTAGCCCCCCCCCCCCCCGCCCCTCTCTTTCTCTGCACTAAAATTCTCACAGGGACAAAACACCGGCTGAGATGATCGCCCATGGGTCGCTTTCCGTCCAAGCCCTGCCTAGTTCCGCTTCCTTCTTTATCCTACTACGTACCGCTTGCTATTGTATGCTTGTCGTCGCTTGTCGTCATGCATGGTCTGTGATGAACCAAAGAAGCCTTTTCCCTAATTCAGACTCTCCTATAATTTGTCCCGTGTGGTTGGCAGTCGCCTGCTAATTTCCCCACAAACCTATGCCGATGATGATCTCTCCCACCGACGATGCTGATGTATGCTCACGGTCGATCGGCGATGCTGCCATTACGGCTGAGCCCTAGACTCCTGAGTCCTGACAAGTCCACGAGCGTTTGAAATACAATATTCCAAATCGCTCACAGTCATTGCTCGGTGCCCTATCTTCAGACATTAGCGTCCTCCATGAGGGGCTTGTGCCCTGACAACGGTGTCTCCTCCATCTTCCCGTTGTCCGCCCACTTCGAAGGTAGTGGCTGGCTTGGGAAGCTGTGGCTTACTGCAGTGGGCTAGCCTTTTTTCCCCCTGCTTACTTGTGTCCACCATCCAGGCGTTCACTGCTTGATCTAGAAAAATAACACCGACGGGAAGGGCCACCTGCGACCCGCACAAGGTCGGAACTAATGCTTTCTCAGTTAGCAATCCCCCGTTGCCTGAAATAGTATTTTCTGTTTGTTTAGCCTGTTTCGGATGCGCCCACTTTCCAACGGTAGTCGGGTCTGGTTCGCTTCTCTAGTCTTCCACTGGCACCCGGCCGCTCCACTTGATTAAACTGGTCTCGAAGATCCGGGTCCCTCGATCAAGAGACGGTCCAACATGCTCTAGCAAGCTGTGCTACTCCATTCGTGCGTTCCAGACTGGGGAGTTGTGCAGGTTTCCATCGCCCCGGCTCAGTAGCCACAGGAAAGTATCCCCCGTTCTCAGGGGTATATATACCTCGATGATGATCACCTCGTTTGAATGGACATCAAGCCCTTTGTCAGTCACTTCCTTTCGCTTGCCGTTTGGGGTTCTGTCTTTCATTTCCAATTGTTTCCCTGTCTTCATTTTACACCCGTCTGTCGTTAACCTAACCAGGCTGCCCTAGTGCCAGCCATTCTCGATTCTTTCCTTCTTTCTCATTGTTTTATATTGTTCCATCCCGATTGACTCGTGTGATCAACTCTCGCTAATACCTTACCGAACCTTTCTTTTCCGAGACCCTCTCGCTTCGTTGGCACCATGCGTTCCAACAAGCTTCTTTTGCTCGCCAGTTTGGCGAATGCTATCCTCGCCCTTCCCACAAAGGACACCAGGGACTTGGACCCCCGCACCTTCGGCCTCGCTGCCGAGATCTTGCACGAATTCGGCAGTGATTTGGTGACCATTGTTGAAGATATTCTCGGTGGTGGAAAAAGCTCAGCATCCGTCCTTACTAACATCAGTGCCCGGGCTGCTGCTGCCCTGAACGGAGGTGCCTTGGGTTGCAAGGCTGGTGTCATTGATGCTGATATCCGTGCCGAATTGGCCACCTGGATCCGTGCTCATGCTGGATTCGAGGCCTCTCTCAAGACTGAGCTCCTCACCTGGTGTGAGGGCGATGCCTCAGCAACTCTGTCGACCGAGGTGTGCGCCGGGCTCTCCTTGTACGTCCCTACCTGCGCCGCGAAGGCGGCCGCCGGTGATCTCTACGTAACCATCGACGGTATCTTCGACGTTACGACACTCGAGGCTGGTGTTGTTCTCAGCTCTTCCTTCCAGTCTTCGCTTGCCACTTTCATCTCCGGCTCTGTGGGCCTCGAGCTGGATGCCAACATCCGCGCCGGTCTTTCCCTTTGCGCTGGTGGTGGTGTTCATACCGATCTTCACGCCGATCTTGCCGCTGCCTTGAAGGTCTGGCTCAATGGCTCGTCTTGCTCCCTAAGCGCCTCCCTCAAGGTTGCCGTCCTGGCTTGGTTGGAGGGCAAGATTGAGACTGGTGTCGTTGCCATCGGTTCCATTCCTACCGGCGGTGTCACTGCCGTCTCCGTTGGTGCCGCCATCAGCGCCTGGATCGAAGCCGAGGGCTCCCTTAGCGCCACTGCCCAGGCCTACCTCTCCGCCTTCCTCGAGTCCAGTGTCTCTGCCAACATCGAGGCTGATGTCCAGACCGTTCTGGAGGCCTGTATTGCCGGCAAGCTTGCCACCTCTATTTCCGCCGATGCCCGCGCGGCCTTGGCCGTCTGGTTGTCCGGTTCCAGCTGCAGCCTGGGAGCCGAACTCAAGGCCGCCCTTTACCTCTGGCTTTCTTTCTCCGTCACTGAAGTCAGCATCGACATTTCCTCCAGCCTCATCACCGAACTTGAGGTCTTCCTCACCGGCACCATTGAGGCGTCCCTCGGCTCCAGTCTCCGTGGTACCCTCTGGCTCCTCCTCTCCGGGGAGAGCATTATTTACCTTTCTCTCGAGGCCCGTGCCGAGTTGGCCGCTGTCCTCGGTGGTGCTGTTGACATCGATATCAGCAGCAGTTTCAACCTTCTCATCATCGAGTGGCTTACCGGCTGCAGCATCCCCGGTGCCCCAACCATCTCTTCTGGCTCCGGTTCGACCACCAAGCTCATTTCCATCCCTACTACGACCCCCGTCGCTGCCTCCACCGCTCCCGCCACCCCCACCGGCGCTTCCCCCGTCGGTGGCTCTGGCTCGCCTTCTCCTTCTGGCACCGGTCCTAGCGGTGTCAGCCCTACCGATGTCACCGGCGGTCACGGCTCCGGCTCCGGCACTGTTGGTGGCTCTGGCTCTGCTTCTGCCTCTGGCTCTGTCTCTGGCTCTGGCTCTGGCTCTGCTTCCGCCTCTGGCTCTGTCTCTGTCTCTGGCTCTGGCTCCATCGGCGGCTCGGGCTCTGGCACCGTCGGCGGCTCTGGCTCTGCTTCTGCTTCTGGCTCCGTCTCTGG